CTATCATTTGTCCTACCTTTTGTTTTTAACACTGTCCCTGTGGGTTCCATGTAAAGCCCTTCTAGTTATATTGTTCTCAATGTGTGTCCTATCTCCACCATCATGTCTTTTCTTCACCTGTTTATGGTGATGAATTGCTCAGCATCATTTTTGTCATCAATTCACAGGAGTCTGGTTTTATAACAGAAGTCCACCACGTCGATGGCAGCGGGGATGATGCGGGGATTGTCTACTGTGAGATGCAGGCAAGAGAGAACAGCGGAGAGAGTCGAACCCAGCGGGCCCTTCTCCGTGCCCTCTACCCTGGTGACTGTGGCTACAGGTGTGAGACTGGGGGCATCATGAGGAATCTCAGGGAGAGCACCACACATGACAAGGTGAGTGTGGTTGTGAGGTGTATGATGTAGCTAAGATGGTACTTGGTGTGGGTAAGATGGTAGTAGGTGTGGTAAAGATGCTACTAGATGTGGGAAAGATGGTACTAGTTGGGGGTATATTATGTGGTATTTAGTATTTGTACGAGGAGCATTCAGAAAGTAATGCACCATATTATACACATCTCTCTCTCTCTCTCTCTCTCTCTCTTTCTCTCTCTCTCTCTCTCTACATACGCGTGAATGCAATCATCAGGTATTCTATATGTTTCAACACTTCATTTTAAAAGAGCAACTTACCTTGAAAACCTTTGGAAAATAAACAGATAGATGTTGCTACAACAACTGGCTACATGTTATCGCTTTATATTATCATCAGGTCAAGAAGTACCACAAGGAGTTCTATCGGCCAGAGAACTTATGCATCATCATCTGTGGGATGGTCAAAGCAGAGCAAGTCTTCAAAGTCCTGGATCCTGTGGAGAAGAAGATTATATCTAAGGTTGGTAGCAGCATCAGGTGCAGTGGGGTGGTGATGAAGATGATGTGGGGTCATGATAAACTGATGTTTTGTCAGACCCATGATTGAAGTTATTATCATCACTTAGCAAGTCTTTTACAGAATGTCCTTCTCATCACAGCATGCTTGAAAGTCTCTCTTTCTCTAGCCTATTCTCCAGTCCTGTGTTTGCTGTCATAGCCAGTGCATCTTCAGTGTCTTCTATCCACATTCATGGAGGTGGGTCTCTACCTTGGTTTCCTGGGTCTTCTATCCACGTTCATGAAGGTGGGTCTCTACCTTGGTTTCCCGTGTCTTCTATCCACATTCATGGAGGTGGGTCTCTCTACCTTGGTTTCCTGTGCCCTCCATCACCATTCTCTCGAGACCATCATGACTTTTAACATAGCCAAAATTTGTCCTATTAAGTCATGACTGAGGTTATGTCAGGTCAGGATTAAAATGTCATGTCATGATTTGTGATGAGTCATAATTGTTATGATGTCAGGTCATAACTGAAATGGTGTCATGTGATGGTTATAATGTTAGGTCATGATTAAAATTATATCAGATGATGATTAAGATGAGAAGAGAGACATTAGAAAACATTGTGACAACCGGAAAGATTAGTAGGAAGAGAGGTAGAGGCAGACCAAGAGAGATGATTCTTTATAGGCTGAAATTATGGCATGGAGGGGTATCATCAAGAGAGTTGTTCCATGCAACCAGGGATCGTGATCTACGAAGACGCATGAGCGCCTATGCCAACTGGCAAGGCTCATGATGATAATAATGATTAAGATGTATTGATTGTGATGTTGGATAGGGATCAAAATGAAGTTGCATTATGATTGAGATGATATTGGATTATGATTGAGATTAACAAATTATTGAGATGATTTTGAGTCACAACTGGAATGACAGGTCATGTTTATGATAATGCTTGATCATAATTGTGATGGGTCACATAATGAGTGAAATGATTTCAGGTAATAATGAATTGATGTCTTGTCAGAACCTGATGTGGTAAGTGCCGTTACTGAACTTTATATATTTCTGTGCTCAGGGTGCAAGACCAGAGTTTACACGACCCTGGCAAACTCCTGTGCCCCCTCTGAAGAAGACAGTCAGGGAGACAGTGTTGTACCCATCCGAGGATGATGAGTATGGGATGTGTCACATCGGATTCCGTGGGCCAGAATCCCAGGTGAGATCCTTTTTTTTTTCAGGCTTTCATTTTAGGATTAGGAAATGTTAAGGAAGGCATAGGCAGTCGGCTTGATAGCCATTGAATTTTCAGTGTGTTGTATCTACCTTCCTGACGTCGGCTTCTGCCTCGTTGTCCTGCACCCTCCATCACTAGTCTCTCCAGGCCATGACGTTTAAAATGGTCTAAATACCTCACTGAAGTTATATCAGGTCATAATAAACTGATATCTTGTCTGGTCGTGATCGGGTATTAGACCTTGATAAACTGTTGCGGGGATGTCAAGCATGATTAAAATAAGTTAGGGTTAAAATAAATTGGTGTCTTGTCAGAACATGATATTGTTAATGCCATCACTGAACATTATATATTTCTTTATTTCCCTGTGTGGGTTCCGAGGCCCAATTATAGGGAAAACAAGAATAGACCCACTGCCAACCCAAAAGCATGTCGTAAGAGTCTACTAATTGGGAGCTTCCTTCAAAATCGGAGACGCAAGGAACCATCAGTCTGCACATAAATGAGTCAGATCTGTCAAACGGATGCACATAAAACACTCAGGTTCTGAAACGAAACTGCAACCCAGAAGTGGACGAACAACAAAAACTTTCTGCCACAGTTTACAGCCGGTGAACGCAAAGAAGAAAAAGAATTCTTTATTGAACACCTCAATTATTAAGTGCCAATAAGTCTATAAAATATGGGTTTAACAACATATGCCAAATGGGAGTCTGCTGTCGCATAGTGTTAAAAACTCACCTCAGGTCTGAATATAGTGGATTCAAATATGCATTGAGTGACTATTTCAAAAATGACCTTGGCTGCCAGGTCCTCCCAGCCTAAAATGGAAAGCAGGAAAAGTCCTGGGAAGTAAATGGGATTTGACCACGTCACCCACCGAGTGCTGATTGATCTATAAAATTTAGGTCTAGCAATGTATACACATATCATCATCATCATGTGCCCTGCCAACTGGCGTAGGTGCTCATGCGTCTCCACAGATCGGGATCCCTGGTTGCCTGGAACAGCTCTCTTGATGATATTCCTCCATGCCATAATTTCGGCCCATCCAACATCATCTCTCTTGGTCTGCCTCTACCCCCCTTTTCCACTGATATTTATAGTTGTCACGATGTTCTCTGGTGTCTCTTCTCGTTATGTGGCTAAAGAACAGTGTTTATCTCTTATTGTTGTATATAAAGATCTACTTTCATTAGCTTCTTTCAAGTAATCGTTAGTTACTTTGGCCGTTCAATGCACATAAGGGCATGGAGATTGGTCCATTTGCCAAATATTCCTTTGGGCATGGAAACAGGTCCTTTAGACTTCATGACAGAGGTACAAGTCACCACTGAAGAGACTGGGGCCTCACCACCTAAGGGACTTCAAGCAAAGACCTTTAAATTGTGAAATAAATTAAAGTAACTATGCCATTGTCTTGTAACCTGTCAGTATTGTTAAGGATGTTAAGAGTGTTAAGCACTGTGATGTCCTAATGACAGATAAAAGATGGCCATGCACCAAAAGGGGAGGGGGGTTCGTGAATGTGTGAAACCTATAGAAACCTATATGAAGATCCAGTTCCCTGTCAGTCGACCAAGTGTATGAGTGGAGCACGAATGTTCCAAAATGGCTGCAACTGATTCTGGGGGTCAGTACTGGTTGGGAACAGTCTGTCACATAAGTCTTGCTGTCTTTAAACTTCCTATTCCGCACATACACTTACTGGAATGGTATTCATGCATCACCATAGCGGGCATTCATTCTATGATGAATTTATATAGGTTTCGCACCCTTCACTGATCAGACATGTGATAGAACACTGCTCCTCTTTGATGCATGTCAGAAGTGGGGTGGCCATCTTTTAACTGTCATTTTTATGTTGCAGTATTTGCCTGCACAAAAATGTCACATGCTTAACACTCTTTACATCCTTAGCAACAATACTGACAGGTTACAATAGACTGGCATGGTTATTATAATTTCTATCACATTTTTAGGCCTTCCGTGTTCGAATATTAACTTAACCAGATTATTTCAGCAGTCGTCTTGTTCTCTGCCTGCATTGTATTTACTGAACCCATTGAAATTACAAACAAATGTCCTGATCCCCTCTAGGCCCTGTATGAACACCTGTGTTTGAGTATCCTCACTGACTACCTGGATGTGTCAGCCATTTCTCCTATACAGCGTGACATGGTGGAAATTGAGGATCCGTATGCAGGAGGGGTGAGAGCGTTTTTCTCAATTGATTTATTTGCTTTTGTTATTCTAGAAAGTAGGCATTCCAGTTTAAAATCTATTTATCTGACAATTTTTTCGTTAAGCATTTTTGTTTGTTCGCTTATTTAAGCATTTTTTTTTAATAACCTGTAATAGAAAGAATAGCAAAAATCAAAGTGGTTAAAAAAAAATCAGCCTGGTGTTTTTGGTTTTCTATGATCAAATCATAAATGTTACATATTGTACATTTTTTAAATCTTCTTGGATTTATATTAGAAAGTAGTTGTATATTATTTGCCTGTTTTTTTTAAAGTAACATGTTGTGTTTTCTAATTTTATTATTGAAATAATGATAATGAACGTTTTGTTTCAGGAGCCTTGTGATGAATGGTGGTTAAACCTATTTTTTCCTTACACTCTTTTGCTTATGAACTCCGCTCTTTAGTCTATGACTGCAGTTCTTTCAGAGATCTTTAGTGGTTGTTTTCCGGAGCTGCAGAGGTTCATATTTTGTATGGCACTCTTGGCAGCGCCTGCTCTTCTTAAAGAAACTTAGTCATATATATATAGTGAAGTCGATCCTTTAAACTTCAGATAGACTGTGTGTTGTTGATGCGGCTAAAAGCTTGTATGTTGTTGATGGTCACAAGGGTTTGTAATGTAAGACTGATACTCAAATTGTTTTGTCTTCCCTCAGGTCAGCTTCAGCATTCTAGAAAACTCCACTCTAGCAGTCTACATCACATTTCAGAACGCCGACTGTGATAGGCTTGATGAGATTGAAGATGAGTAAGTGGTTTCTGGTGGCTTTGAAGAGATGGCCTTAGGTTGTTGATGGGTGATCTATTATTTGTGTTTGTTTGTTTTTGTTTAAAGAGATGTTTGTTGAGTTGGCTCGGTTGCTTGATATGCCGTGATGTTATGCAGTCTCAAGGTGTCAGTGACTCCTTCAATCCGTTTTCTTCTCGGTCTTCCCCTGTCTCTTGGTGTTTTGATTTTCATGTTGTACGCTCTTGCTGCTGACATCTTTGGTTTCATTCTCATTAGATGGCCAAACCATTTCATTCTTCCTTTTTCAATAAATTTGACGACGGGTGTTGTTCCAACAGTTGTTGTGATCACGTTGTTTCTCGTTTGATCTCTTTTGGTTTTTATTCATAGCCTTTCTCAAACATCTCATCTCACAGGTGGTTAGTTTTCTCTCGTGTTTTTTTGTCAATGTCCAAGTCTGACACTGGTAACCTAAAGTTGGAATAAATATTGTATTTATAGTTTGCCTTTTTGTCTCAATTGGGATAGCAGGGTGTTTTAAAATCGAAGCAAGTTGGTACATGACATTTTTGGCTTGTTGGATTCTCGTTTCTATCTCTCTCTGTCTATAGCGGCGTCCGTGGCTAAGGCGTTGCGAGTCTGACTCGTAATCCAACGTACCACGATCGAAACCTGCGTGGATTTTTATCATGGTATGGGACGTCGCAGGTCGACCCAGCCTCAAATGGGTACCAGGATGGGCTGTCCTGGGAAAGTAAAGACAGCCGGCGTAATGCTGACCACATTACCCACCGAGTGCCGATTGATCTGTAAAAATATGGGTGCTCTTCCCATGTGCCCGATGCGCCTAAGGGCGTGTAAAGGGATCTTTACTTTACTTATGTAAAGATGCTTCTTGTTTCTAATTATAATGTATGTAAGGATTTGATTTGATTCAAGAACCGACATCACAGCACTCGGGCCATTCCCATAAGCGCTCCGTCCCCATCTTCAGCAGCCAGCGAAGAGTTCCGATACTTATTATAATGTATGTAAGGAGTGAGTCCAAAAAGGCAGACTGTTAATTGGGCCTGCATGCCTAGTTCTTAAAACCCTTTACAAATAAAGTTTGTTTGTTCCCAACAGTTGTCTATCTGCGTGTTAAGCTTATGTCATATTTTTCAATAGTTTATGTATGTGTATATGCCACGGAGGGAGTCGCCGTGGCCGAGCGGCTAGACGCTCGCCGTGGATCGGAAGGTCGTGGGTTCGCTACCTGGCGGAGCCAGACTTTTCTTCAAAAATGACCTTGGCTCCCGGGTCACCCCAGCTTTGAGTGGGTACCAAGTGCAGTCCCGGAAAGTAGAGGCGGCCGGCGGTGATGCTGACCACATCGCCCATCTTGTGCCTTTGGTCTATAAAAAATAAAGGTCTAGCCCTGTATGCCCTATATGCCTAAAGGCGGGGGAAAGGGTCCTTTATATTTGTTTTTACTTATATGCCACAGATCATTTTGAGTGACGGGTGAAAATCAGGAAGGGAATAGAAATAAAGGAAAGATGATTGCAGAAATGTTGAGAGCTGAGTGTCTAAACAAGCACACTTAACACATGTAACAGCAACAATGCTGGTGAAATTCCAGGCTCTTGCTAGTGATTCTTGCCATCACCATAGGCTGTGATTGGCATGCCTCCCATAGCACAGTAAAAGAATATTGTCTGAAGAGACGGAAAGGTGCCAGCACATAAGTTGGGACCCCCGTGTGGGTTCCTGGGCCCCATTGTGGGGAAAACAAGAATAGACCCACTGCCTCCCCAAAAGCATGCCGTAAGAGTCGACTAATTGGGGAGCTTCCTTTGAAGTTGGAGTGCATCTGCCGGAGAGGCAAGGAACCAACAGTATGTATTAAAGAGAATAAGATCTGTAAAACTGATGCACATGCAACCCTCAGGTTCTGGAGCAGGACTGCAGTTCAGTAGTGGACGAGCAACCAGAACTTTCCGCCAGAGTGTACAGCTGGTGAACGTGAAGAAGAAGAAAAGTCGGGAGATGTGAACCAGCGTCACTGCACACATGGTTATAAACCATAAGTGCTCTGCCACCAGTCCAAACAGCTGATAAGAAACTATCCACCTGTGTCACCCTCCCCACGAAGCTCCATAGCTACAGCGACGTTCCTCCATTTACCCCAGAGTGTTAACTCTGGGACTCATTTCCAAAAGGCTGGGTAAACCCCGGGAACCTTCTGGTTTCAAATACCGGCCATAGGCTGCAGCGAGTTGCAGCTGGATTCGAAAATGAGTCTCCTATCGACTGCGCTAACGCGGTCCAGCATATGCAATAGCCATCACTGTATCTCTCTCTCTCTCTCTCTTTCTGTCTGTTTCTGTCTGGTTTTTTCTCTTTCTCTTTTTTTCTCTCTGAATTATTGTTCATTTTCAGTAACTGTCTAGTTTCATGTTTCCTTAGGTTTATGAGAATCATCACCAAAATTGCCAACCGCGATGAAGCACTGGACATGAAACGTATGTCTGCTGTGATTCACCGGCGTAAATTGGACACTTTAAGCAGCGTGAGTCTTGTGTTTGTCTCTCTAAATAGTGTGGTCTTTGTGTATGTGGGTTTGGTTAATATGACTTTTTTTAAAAAAAACTCAGATTTTATGTGTAAATCTTGTGTAAGTCTGCTTTGAAATGTAAAACTTGTTTGTTTATCAATATTGTTTTTTTTTAAATGTATGTCTGTCCTCTCTGTGTCTGTCAAAACTATATTATGTATATCTATCTTAACTTGTGTTCATGCCATGTGATGTTGGTAATCATATCTATCCACAGCCTTCTGTCTCATCATTTCCTCCCAGTGTTGGTTCCGGGACCCCATTTTGGGATGAAAATGAATAAATCCACTGCCCCTCTTCCTCCCAGCAAGCATACCGTAAAAGTGCATTAATTAGGGGTGTTTCTTCGAAGTCGGAGTGCATTTGCCTGAGAAGAAAGGAACCAACAGTCCACATTAAAAAAACAGCCAGATACATACACAGTGAATACATTACAGCAACCTGCATTGGGGAGACGGCAGTAGGTTTTTTTTTTAACATACTATACACATCCCTAATTGGGTTTGGATATATATAATCCGTTCATGATTCATGGATGTATACCAGACAGATTTTCCCATAAGAAATAAATGGAGAATAATCAATTCGTGTCCATACAAAAAATCTTCTTGTTTGCATGTTTATTTATATTGGTGAGGTTGCCTAATATTAAAAGACACAAATGCAATAGCAATTAGATTAAATGAATAACCTTTTAACCTCACTTGACTTTCCTAAGATATTGAGAAGGAAGGAGGAAGATGTTATTATTTGAAAAGAGAGTCATCTTCCAATAAAACTTCAGGAATCTGAAATTTATGTGTTTTTTCTCTTGCTTTTTTCTGTCTGTTTTCACTACTTGGACCTGGTTGAGGCTTGTCAAGTCTGATTTTTACTATAAAAAATATCTCCAAAAAACGTGATTCTACCTTTTCCCCAGGATATTTCAGAAATGTGACCGTCTGGCCATTCCAGTCAATGCTGTTATGGCTTGTTTGCGCTTAGTTGAGGGGATATTCCTCTGCAGAGTCGTTGGCATTTATCCGCCTCTCGAGACATATAAACAAAGATAACACATGATGTGACTAATTTTGACTCCTACAAGTATTAGCACATATGTTGTATTCCAAGCAAAGGTCGTATATCAGGCAGGCGTTTTTGCATCTAAACAGGATGTTAAGGGGCTGTGTGGTACTGAAGTCCCAACATAGCTCCATTTTTTTTCTTGTTGCCGTTGAAAACACCCCTACACATAACAGACTATAAAGCAGCATGCATTAATTGTTACCCGTATTCTTCCTCTCCATGCTTCCTCCTGCCCACAAAGACACTGGGAGTGGTACTTATTTGTATATGGTATTTTCTCTGTTTCTTTCTATGCAGCTGGAGTACATGCCTTATGACACAACAGCCTTCTTTATCATCGGACACTTTTTGTATGGCAGTGATGAGGAAGATGTGAGTATCTGTTTTTTTTGGTAAGAGATATGATGTTTGACAAGTAAGTATACAGCAAGCAGGGGCAACTACTGAATGTCACATTGCCTAGTAAAGTCATAAATGGCACACCACACCCACCCCACCCCCCCCCCCCCCCCCCCCCCCCCCCCCCCCCCCCCCCCACCCCCATTGCTGTGGTTGGTTCTGCAATATCCTGTAAAATATATGCACCTAGCTTTAACAGTATTTTAGCTGCATGAATTTAGGACAGTTCATGTGTAAACTCAACCTATAATGAAAGCACTTCTTAACTCTTTGAGTCCCAAGGAACGCATCATACGTTCATAGATTCCTACCGTAGAGGCCCAATGAATACATGATGCGCCGATTTTACGTCCTCTCTTGGCTACCCCTTGGGCCTGTGATGCTAAACCTCCGGGGACTCAAAGAGTTAAAGCTGCCTTGTGCATTTAATGTGTCTTTGTGCCATTGGCTTTACCGAGACTGCAGTCTGTTTTTCTTTTTTTTCCAACAAGTGACAGCAATGAACATTAGGTGTGTGGGTTTTTGGCTGTGTCACAGGAGCAGAACAACTACGAAGGGACACATTTGCTGTAAAGTTGGAACTGTGGCTAGCATTAATGGAAGTAAAAAATGGTAACACTGCAGCCTACCATTTACATTGTAAGTGTTGACAGAGAAGGGTTGGTCTGAAATTGGCTAACTCATTGCACAGAAAACTTTACTTGAAAAATTCATCCAGTCATGGTCTGCAAAGGTGAGGGCATTTTGCTTGATGAAAGTTAAAAGGCAAAAAGCAGAGAAGAAGAATTTAGGATTTTGAACACTTTGAAATGTATAATTTGTATTGTAGGAGGTTCAGCTGCACTTCTTACATTGTCTCTCACTGTATGTTCCTTGTATCACACGGCACAAAGTCAGATTGTAATGGTCTAACATCTGCATGTATAGGACTCAGTTAGCCCTGTCCTCTCTGCCCATGTCTGTATCTTTGTTTTCTTCTAATGCTTTTTATATCTCAGTGACAGTTGTTTTGCTGTTTTCTAATGCAGCTTCCATCTTGTTTTATTACTTGGGAGTTATTACTTGTGATTTGCAGTCAGTTGTGCTGTAATGATTCTGTGATGTAGCCTACGTCTTGATGTTAGTGATATATCATTTCTGATACTGCTGTGCCTGAATCTATATATCTGTCTTTTTTTACCCCACCAGGACATCACACAAGTGATAAACACCAGATGTTACAAAGTTCCACCACGTGGATAAGGATCACCCGTGGAGGGGTCCCAGAAACCGCGTTTAGCCATTAGACCATATTTATAGCCGGGCTATATTGCAGCCAGGGTGGGGCTTCAAAATAACTGGAAAATTGCATTCTCACAAGGGAATAACTAGTAGCGCATAACTGCCTGAATGTCAGTGCTTGTGACATGATTTATGCTGTAATCACGCAATTTTAAAGTGAATGATTTTGATATGATTTCTAACATTGATTAAATATTATCATTACTGACTGGCATGTGTCCTACAGCTCAAAAACAGACTAAACACTGTTGACCTCTGTGACCGGATGCAGAATGAGACGGAAGAGTTTTGGCTTAACCTCCTGAAGAAGTATTTCTTGGGCACACCCAGAGTTGTGGTTAGTGTTTTATTTTGGTTAAATCCCTTGTTTCGACCACAAGATGACTTTTTTTGCGACAGGACTGGACAAGCTATTGTTTACAGAGAAAACAGGACACAACAGATTCAATAGCCACATATCATAGTCATTATCAGTTAGCAGGTCCTTTACATAACGCTGCGCTTGTTTTGGCACGCCTGAAAGTTTCTCTTGCTCCAGCCAGCTATCCGGCCCTGTATGTTTTCATAGCCAGTGCATCTTCTGTGTCCTGTATCCGTCTTCGCTGAGGTCTGCCTCTGACTTGTTTTCCAGAAATAAAGGACTTTCTAATGCCTTTAGTCATTATTTCTAACCTTTTTCTTATCCTAGGATGAAAAAAGGCATCTTTAATACTTAATTTTGTGACAAAGCAAGTCATCCCTTAGCTTTGTTGGAAGCGGGTCTAGGATGGGAAACTCCACCAGGTAGACAGAGTACTGCCCTTCTCATCCTGTAGCCTCTGCAGCCTGCTTTGTTCCCAACGTATCTGTATTCCTTTTTTTTAAATTATTTTTAAATTTGTGTTTTGGGAGTTAGCAGTTTGTGAGAGGGATTTGCTGCATGGGCAACACATGATCTCTACAATACTGCTCAGGCTTTGTGCTATGAGGAGGAGGAACTTCACCCCTGATCCTAATTGGTATCTCCATGAGCTGTGATTTCCCTGTCTCCCTACACCCTAATGGAACATATTGTCGGGAAAGGCTAGCAAAGCATATCTGGTGTATGGTGCTAACAGAGACTAACTCACATCCTTTCAATCACCACCACCCATGTTGGTTGACAGTTTGGTACTTATTCAGCACATTTACAGCTAACATTTATATCTGGGTTAACACACACAATAGTTCTTCTGCGTTCATTCTCCCTTAACAGCATGGTTGGCATATTGTGTTATGGCTTACAGCTAGGCTGTGATATTTTTTCCATTTCTGCCTTCAATATTCAATTTCAGCTAATCTGTTTTATCACTTTACAGCATCCTTGTTAGGAAGAGCGGGTCTGTTCTTGTTTCCATCGGAATCAGGCTACACAACCTACACAGATTGTCCAGTAGTAAAGAAGTGTTCTTCTCTAATCAGGTTCGATCCCCAGCAAGAGACTTTTTTTTTCTGTCAGGGGCAAAATAAAAATCCTAACCTGCCAAGTCATGGTAACTGCACTGGCAATACAGCCTGAAACCCTCAGCTTGATTACTTACTCCCCCTATCCTTCATCACCATGTGGTAATCACAGCACGACCGGTTCCAGCTAACTTACCGTGCTGCTGACATCACTGGGTCGGGCTAACGATGCATTAAGGCAGCGGTTCTCAAACAAGAAATAAACTATTTTTGACAGCGGCGAGGGAAGACAACTTAAATTGTAACTTTTAAGTATCTACATGCCTTCTTTAATAATTTCACAATTTTTAGCCGACTTTTCTTGATTATTGTCACAGCGCCCTTGGCATACACTCTCAGCACCCAAGGGTGCCCCGGTACCCAGTTTGAGAACAACTGCATTAGCGCATCGTTAGCCCGATCCAGTGATGTCATTAGCAGGCCCGTCAGCTGGAGCCGGTCTTGATCACAGGCTGCAAAGTCGTTGTTTCTCTGCTACTTATGACAAACTAATTAACAGAACAAAATAAGTAAATAAATCGGCTTAAAGACCCAATCACTCACTCTAGCAATGCAGACTGTCAGAACAGCTTGAAGAACCTATGGTGCAGCACCTGCAAGCGAGTTAAGTAGACATTTTGAGATCATGCAACTTTCCTCTGGGAACTTATATGTGTGAGTCATCGACTCATACTCAGTCACTGAAGCGAAGACTCTTACTTTTTGAACTGAAATGCTGCAGAAAAAAATAATAAACAACTTTACCAGTGTGAATAAGGAAACTGTTTTCTTGTTTTCCAGAAACCATATCTTGTCTTTCTCTTCTTGTATGTGCTCTCATTTTATTTTTCTTTAGATTATTGGGCGGCCAAGCCTGGATCTTGGAGCTGATATGGGGAAGGAGGAACAGGAGCGTATAGAGAAACAGAAAGAAGAACTTGGAGAAGAGGGACTGAAAGAATGCAAGAGACTGGTAGAGAAAGCTGAGGAGGAAAATTCAGTGAGTTCTTCGAACATTAGTTAGGCATGCAGTAGTTAGTCAGTTTACGTGAACATAGTCATTATATTTTCTGTTTTGTAATGGGGGTGGGGGGGTATTCTGGTTATCATTTGTTTACCAGGAATTTGGTCTCAGTAATAGGAACATTTGTTCTGACTTGTATGATTTAGCTATCACAATTAAAAAAAATTGCCACATAAAAAAGGTACCACAGAATTGAACGATCACAAAATGGAGGATCATTGTCTTGGCAAGCAAGCATGTAAACCATTATGTTGCTACAACTTTAAAGTGTAAGATTTCTTTAATGGCTACCTTTGAAATCCCTATCCTCTGGGTAGGGCTCGCAAGTGTGTTAATAACATACCCAGTTTACAAATGCAGTTTCTACAGAGATCCATGGGATAAAACCTGACACAGTAAAGTCAAGTGGTCTCAACTTTAAATAAAAACTTTAGCTTAGAATTAATATAAATAAAGGACCCTTTTACAGGATTTTCTGGGCTTAACTACAAAGTTCCATTTCGACTAACTGGTCATCAGCCGAATTTATATTTTTCAACGCTATTTTTATTCAGACGTGTTATAAAAATTATACATAAAACACAAAACTTCAACCTGTGTTATAGTTCATATGTACTTAATTGCATCAGTTCTGAGAACTTTTTGACCCTACCAATGTACGAGTAATCTTTCTTTATTGACTATTTTTATTTATTTATTTTACGTTGTCATAAGTGCTGATGGCCGTAAGTTGCAAGGGTCATAAGTCGAGAATATGTAATGCTAATCTTGTATTTCCATACATCAGTCAACACAATGGAGAATGTAGTCAGTATCATACTTTCTGCCTTTATCTCCCAGAATATTTCCTTGTTCACATTTTAAGCTAGGTAAACCTGGGAGCCCAGGTCAACTTGAGAAAATCTTCACCCCCAAAGGAGATTTAAACAGCTGACCACTGGGCTGGCAGGCAAGCTTGCTGGCCACAGCATACCCCAGCATTGATGTGTCAGGTTGTAGTTCATTAACAATTATTTGTTGCAGCGCCCAGCTCCAAAGTCGGTCCACGACAAAATACAACCCCCGAGTACAGAGAGCATCATCTTGCACACGATCAGCCCCAGCACCAACATTGCCAACAGCAGCACGCAAGACACGAACAAAAACTTCCCTCTCTCAGACCTGCCGTTCCGCTTCATGCTGGATGACATCCACACCAATTTTGTTGAAGTAAGTTTTCCCTTTCGTTGTGTCGTGATTTAAAAAAAAAATTTGTTTGTTAGTATGGGGTTGGGGATCTGCAGCTTGTGATGTTAAACAAAATAGCTTAAAGTTTCAGTAAGTTGCTGAAACTGATCATCAACATCATGTGCCCTGCCAACTGGCGTGGGTGCTCATGTATCTCCACAGATCACGATCCCTGGTTGCCTGGAACAGCTCTCTTGATGATATCCCCCCATGCCATCGTTTCAGCACATCCAGCATCATCTCTCTTGGTCTACCTCTACCTCTTTTTCCCCTGATCTTTCCAGTTGTCACTATGTTTCTGTGACTCTCTTCTCATTATTTGGCCAAAGAACAGTTTTTGTCTTCCTGGGGAAGTAAAGACGGCTGGCGTAATGCTGACCACATTACCCGCATAGTGCCGACGGTCTGTAAAAATATGGGCGCTCTTCCCATATACCTAATATGCCTAAAGGCCTGAAGAGGAATCTTTACTTTTTTTTTTTTTTTTTTTACTTACAGTGTTTGTCTCTTTCTTATTGTTGTATATAGAGATCTACTTTCATTAGCTTCTTTCAAGCAATCGTTGTTAGTTACTCTGGCCGTCCAAGCTATTCGTAACATTCGTCTCAGAAACCACATCCCTGTTGCTTCCAAATTCTTCCTAATTTGTTCACTGACATTCCAAGATTTGCTGCCATACAGCAGAACAGGTTCTTTGTAACATTTTAGCAGCCTCTTTCTGGAACTGATAAGTTTTTAATATGGGACAGTGGCAGACATTTTGCGTGATTTTTGCTAGCACAGGAATAGAAGAGTTATGGAGCAACCCGTCTGCAGTCATGCCTTGACTAATGACTGACCTAAAGTATGTCAGTGGAAGGTATCGTGATTGTAAATTCATCTAAATTTTGTTTAGGAATGTCAATTACTGTGAGAGACTATCAAAACTTGCCATATAAGAGGACTAAAATCATTTTACCAGATTTTCTGAATACTTGCCTTTTTGAGATCGAAAATATTTTTAAGGGAGAGGCCAAAACTTGTGGTTTTGTGAGGATTAAAGGTATTTTACTATCACTAAAAAAAAATTAACTGCTACTCTGAGAGAGCCGGAAGTATTTGGACTAGGGGAAATTATCTAAAACCTTGCCATTTGAGAGGACCAAAAGTATATGTGAATCAGTCTAGCTGACTCATAGGTTAGTCTAGTTAATGTTATATAGGTGTTTTGTATGTTTGTGCTATTAGTCTAGTTGATGCCATATAGGTGTTATGAATTAGTGAGCAGTACCAGCTGTCACACAGGTGTTTATGTACGTCTGGGTAAATCTGGCTGATGATAATATACATGTGTATATGTGGGCCAAAAGTCTAGTTGTTGAGCTCCCCAGGCTAGCTGATCTCATATGGGTATGTTTGTATGGACACGAATCTGGCTGATTATCCAGATGTTTTGTATAAATGAGTTAGTCTAGCTGTCTGATAGGTCTCATGGATATGTCATATAGATCATTTGTATATGAGGACCAACAGTCTAGCTGTTATCACATAAATAATGTACATTACTGAGCTCGCTAGCTGATGTCACGAAGGTTTAATGTATGTGTGCACCAATCTAGCTGATGCTATATAGGTGTTATGTTTATGTGAGCCACCACTCTAGCTGATGTAATATATTCATGTATAGTGGGCCAACAAAATCCATATGAGTTAACTTGTAGATATGAGTGGTCCTGCTGGTGTCATTAGATATTAATGTCAAGCGTTTTGGCCAGGTAAGAGATGCCAGTGCTTTCTACCCACTAAGATGACATCTCATATATTCCAGCTAAATATACTGCTGGATTCCTGTGAGTTGCCACAGAGATTGAGATATTATCTGCCCCTGTACAGTGACCTACTTTCTGAAAGTGCTGTTGTACGAAATGGAGGTAATGTGAAGATTTTTCTCCAGTGAATTGTACATTTTGTTGCTCTGATTATTCTAGTATTTTGTTTCTCATCTGAAATTAATCTTCTTATGTGCTGTTTTATAGCGTCTAGACTCTTGCCTGCTGATCTGAATGTCTTGGGTTTGAAACTGCGGTCAAGTTGACTTTGGGTCAACCCAACCTAAAATGTGCTCTGGGGCCCCGTTGTGTTGTAGTGGGGGGGGGGGGGGGGTGTTGACCCACTGCTCCCCTAACAAGCGTGTCATAAAGGTTGACTAATGAAGGGTGTTTAATAGAAGTCCACAAGTGGATGAACTAGAAATTTCTGCTGGTGAACATGAAGAAAAAGTAGTTCTAAGAAATAAAGATGTCCATCATGGTGTTGACAACATCACCCTTTGGTCTATACAACTATGAACTTGCTCACTGTGCCACTGGTTTAAAAGAGTCCTTTGCTCACTGTAGTTGAAAGTGCTTGTTTTCATGGTCATTGATCAGTCAGTAGCAATTAGGGCACAGTTGACCAGGAGCTGTGTTAGCACAATAGCAATCAGGGCACAGTTGACCAGGAGCTGTGTTAGCACAATAGCAATCAGGGCACAGTTGACCAGGAGCTGTGTTAGCACAATAGCAGTCAGGGCACAGTTGACCAGAAGCTGTGTTAGCACAATAGCAATCAGGGCACAGTTGACCAGGAGCTGTGTTAGCACAATAGCAATCAAGGCACAGTTGACCAGGAGCTGGGTTAGCACAATAGCTTGATGCTTGCCTAACACCCTGAAGGTCCCACAAATTTTAAAAACACTGACCTTTAGCTTTCAGGTCTGTCCAGTCTAAACTGACCACCAGGAAATGTATCGAGAAGCCAAGGTGGCCAGCAGGATGTTAACCACAGGTCTTATGAAGTCCATATAAATTATAGCCCCCCCCCCCCCCCCCCCAAAAAAAACACGCACACACACACACAAAATATGAGTCTGGCATCATATTACCCAGGAGTCACCTTGGCATAGTGACTAGATGCTCGCGTGCGGATCGGAAGGTCGTGGGTTTGCTCCCTGGCGGAGCCGTACTTTTTTTCAGAAATGACCTTGACTCCCAGGTCGACCCAGCCTTGTGTGGGTACAGGGTGCAGTCCCAGGCAAGTAAAAGGGGCCTGCGTCATGCTGACCACATCACCCATCTTGTGCCGATTGGTCTTTAAAAATATAGGTCTAGCCCTATATGCCCTATAGGCCTAAAGGCGTAGAAAAGTGACCTTTACTTACTTTACTATCATATGACCTGGCTGATACAGATGTGAAAAGGGTCCTTTACTTAGAGGTTTCAAGGTTTGAACAACAGATCAACATCATGGCACATGGGTAGTAACCCATAAGTGCTCTGTTCTTCTTCTAACTCGTCTGAGTCTGAAGAAGCTCAGCACAGTGTACAGGCAGGCTCTGTAGCACCGGCGAGGATCCTGAAATACTTTGGGTAGATTTTTAACTCTAAATTTTTGCCCGGGCAGCGCGGTTAGGCTACTCTTTTCAATTTCCAACTGCCAAGGGATTCTTTACGTGCACGTGGGCTCCGATCACACTACCTTGAGACCAGGGGGATTTACTAGAAGTCCAAGTCCACGTGAAAAAATCCCAGCTCTCACCGGGAATTGTACCTGGAATCTCTAGCACTCGAGGCGGACGCCATGCCTCAAGTCCACGCAGCCCCTCCCTTACTTTTACTGATGATTCCTGTAAGTCCCAGGTTCATCAAGAAAACGCTGGTAATGCCAGCTGGCTAAAAACCATAACCTCAATATTAATAGTAAAACTGATCACATTGCTTAGAAGTCCTATAAATTACGTTTTTTTTTCCCAGTGTTTTAATTAACTTGGTTTTTCAAGATTGTTTCGTGTCTATCAGTGCAGTTTGTTCATGAATACTTTTTACATGTACACTGTAAAAGATCAGTTCAAGTTGTAATCATTGCACTCAGGACATGTTATGTAATGTCATGGTTCACAATTCTCCTTTATCTCTATATAATTATTTGATACTGTCTCTTCAGTGCAGTGTAAAGTAAGGGGGTGTGTTATACACTGTTATACTATCATGATTCAACATTCTGTTTCCCTTCTGTGCAATTAATTTTTATATTGTCTTCTTTACTGTTGCCTGCGAAATATAATGAAGAAACTAAATGTGATAGAACATTTTTATTTACTTTGACCCTGGTTATGTATTTTAGACTCTATCATGATCATATACATTGTCATAGTTTTGAAAGCCATGAATGTAATTAACCTGCCAATCTTTAGCAGTACATTAAAACTCCATTATCATAATTCTGTACTAAACACTGTTTTAACTCTTTGAGTCCCAGAGGGTTTAGCATCACAGGCCCAAGGGGTAGTCAAAAGAGACTAAAATCGGCGCATCATGCGTTCATCGGGCTTCTAAGCAGTAACCTATGAACGTGTGATGCGTTCCTTGGGACTCAAAGAGTTAAGAAATAACGTTGGTAGCTGACATAATAGAAAACAGCAGACACTGCATGGCTTACAGAGAGGATTGGTTACAACTGTTTTTACTGGGTGATCTTATTTTTCTGCAATCGCTTCTTATTCTTATAGTCTTTGCTGTGTGGCATTGGAAGTCATGTCCGTCCACAACCTTCTGTCTTGTGTGCTTTCAGTTCATTCTGACACAGATGAACTTTCATGCCATGATGTCAAACTGTCCAGATTCTTCTCTCTCTGTTTCCTCATTTCTGCGGCATCTGCCCTTTATTTGGCCCTCTGATAGCAATCAGTTGCCAACTACTGCAGGTCCATTCATATCGTCCCCAGATTGTTCATCCTTGTCTTTATTTCTCTTTTTTAACATGTTTTAGGTCTTCCTCTATCTCTTTTGCCCCGTGGATTCCAATGAACAGACAGTCTAGTTATACTATGTCGGGTTTTTTTAGGTGTGCCCTCTCCAGCACCAGCATTTTTAAATCTCCTCTTGATTTACCTGAATTTGTTTAGTTCCTGTTTCTGAGAGCCATATGTTTGCGGTGTGATTTTAACGTTATCCTTACCACACAGTGCTGGTTGTTTAGTTCCTCTTCCTGAGAGCCCACATGTTTGCAGTGTGATTGTAACATTGTTATCCTCATCATACAGTGCTGGTTGTTTAGTTCCTCTTCCTGAAGCCACATGTTTGCTTTGTGATTTTAACATTGTTATCCTCATCACACAGTGCTGATTGTTTAGTTCCTCTTCTTGAGAGCCACATGTTTGTGGTGTGATTGTAACATTATTATCCTCACCACACAGTGCTTATGCCCTATGAGGAGGTGGTGGCACAGCTAGAGATCGACACCTGCTTTTGTGGAGCTGGTTCGGGTTTCCCTGGAGCTAAACACTTGCGGTGTGGAGCTTTCCCTCAGGTGTTTGCCTTGACCATCAGGGTATGTATTATGGGGTTTTTTGTGTAGGATGCTCTCTGTTGCTTTTTTTGTGTGTCTGTAGTCAGGGTATATTTTGTCTGTGTTGTATTTATGATGTTATCTTCAAATACAACATATCAAGGCAAAACATCTGGCCAAGAGAAACACCAGTTGAAACCAAACTTTGCGGGTCGCTGAGGGAATCACAAAAGACAGTGAAGTTCATACTAAAGACAACATTGCAGATGTGAATAATCTATTTCAGGTGAACAAAAAAAGAAGAAGCATTTCAATTTGTTTCACAAAAGACTGATAGGCATTATGTTGATCTTTCTCTGGCACAGGAACAGGGCAATCATCGGGAGACCTATTTGCACGAAGTTGGAATTGCGACTAACCAACCTTAAGCCTGCCTTCAAGTTTGATTTTCTTATTTTCACAGGCTGAAGATTCCAAGTATGAGACAGCTGTGTCCTGGGCCAGAGACTTGTTGTTTCACATCTGCTTCACTGCCGACCGGGTGAAGATTGTAGCACAGAAGCAGCTGAGTGAGACCTCCACGGCGAAGCGTAGCGGCAGCAAGATCATGAGAACACTGCTAAGGGAGCTCTGTTTCCAACCTGGTACTTGTTTTATTCATAAATTGAAGTCAGAGAGGATCGACTTCATTGCACAGGGTTTAATTGCATTTGGCTTGGTCTCTCTACAGAACATCTAGCTGCCTGCTTAGAGCATAGGACAAAGCACGAACACTAGTTCTGGTGATGATCAGCATGGTTCTCTGAAAAAAATTTGCTCTCGCAAACTGAACGCCACAGCTGTGTAATGAACCTACGACCTTCATAGTGCGAGGCAAACAGCTTTACCTATTTTGCCATTGGGACCGCCTCCTATCTTACTTACATATCTTCCCAGCAAAATTTCAAATAGACAATGTTTTCTAGGTCAGTCAAGCCAGAATAGTTCTGGAATGTAAACTTGGCCAGCGTGATATTTACAAAATTCACTACCAAAGGCTGATAGTTGTTTAAGAGTAAAGAGCTGGCACCATTTATCCAGAATGACTCAAGGAGTGGAAATAACACTTATATTATAAAAGTGAAGTAAGGTACCCTTTTCCGCGCCTTTCAGGCATGTTGGGTATATAGGGCTAGACCTATATTTTATAGACCAAACAGCACAAGATGGGTGATGTCGTCAGCATCACGCCTGCAGCCTTTACTTCCAAGGACTGCACCTGGTACCCACCCAAGGCTGGGTGAACCTAGGAGCCAAGGTCATTTTTATTTAAAGTCCCACCCCCCCTCCCCCCCCCCCCCCTTTCCTCCCCCAGGAACCGATCCCACGACCTTCCTATCCACAGGTAGGCGTCTAGCTGCTAGACTACGGCGGCTCCCACCTTATGTTGAGTTACTATAAATCGTTGATATTTTTCATCACCAGCTTGTTGTACTGTTATGTGTCACATAGAGCTCGCAGTCTGTACTTCCATTCCATTCTTTCTATTCTGACATTTATTAGTATCCATCACATAAATAACCCATATTCTGACATTCATTAGTATCCATCACATAAATAACCCATATTCTGACATTCATTAGTATCAATCGCATAAATAACCCATATTCTGACATTCATTAGTATCCATCGCATAAATAACCCATATTCTGACATTCATCAGTATCCATCACATAAATAACCCATATTCTGACATTCATCAGTATCCATTGCATAAATAACCCATATTCTGACATTCATTAGTATCCATCACATAAATAACCCATATTCTGACATTCATTAGTATCCATCACATAAATAACCCATATTCTGACATTCATTAGTATCCGTTGCATAAATAACCCATATTCTGACATTCATCAGTATCCATTGCATAAATAACCCATATTCTGACATTCATCAGTATCCGTCATGTAACTCCACATTTATAATTTGTCTAATAGAGATAAATAATACTTTTATAATTTCACTGTCATTTTTTGCAGCATTTCATATGTAGGATGTAATTAGTGTTGAACAAATTTCCAAATTTATCTTTTGACTGGAAATTTTAATTGTTGCATCAGTTTATACCAGGAACTTGTATTAACATTAGGTAAAACGGTGTCAAACTACTGAAAGTAAAATTGGCCAGTAAAATCATAACATCACAGACAACAGTAAAATCATAACATCACAGACAACCAAAGAATGCTGGAGTTTATACCAGGAACTTGTATTAACATTAGGTAAAACGGTGTCTGAAAGTAAAACTACTGAAAGTAAAATTGGCCATTAGGTTAAAACGGTGTCAAACTACTGAAAAATCATAACATCACAGACAACCAAAGAATGCTGGAGTTTTTACCAGGAACTTGTATTAACATTAGGTAAAATGGTGTCAAACTACTGAAAGTAAAATTGGCCAGTAAAATCATAACATCACAGACAACCAAAGAATGCTGGAGTTTATACCAGGAACTTGTATTAACATTAGGTAAAACGGTGTCAAACTACTGAAAGTAAAATTGGCCAGTAAAATCATAACATCACAGACAACCAAAGAATGCTGGAGTTTATACCAGGAACTTGTATTAACATTAGGTAAAACGGTGTCAAACCACTGAAAGTAAAATTGGCCAGTAAAATCATAACATCACAGACAACCAAAGAATGCTGGAGTTTTTTCTGCAATGTCCTGTAAAGGATACACAACTAACTGGTAGTGAACTGGAAGTATTATCACATCAGGTTCAACCGTAATGTTGTTAAATCAGATTTCACCATTTTTGCTTATGTTGTGGACACTGCAGACTCAGCAAACACTCGTATGAATTAGATATGAGGCAGACAACTTTCTGCCACAGTCGTCATGCTGAAAAGACTCCAGACATGTCTTGCAAGATCATCCTTTTCTGGGGAAGCTGCGAAAATAACACAGCTCTGAGGAAACCTGAGAGGCAAAGAGACGGCTTCCCTGTTTATAGCACATAGTGGATTAAGCACCTGAACATGAAATAACTGAAAAAGAAGGAGGTTTCACCTTGAAGTATTGTTATAAAATGTGGCATTAGCATTAGGTTTGTCATGGAAGCATAGTTCTGTTTGTGTAGGTAACGAGCAGTTGCGTTAGCGTCTAGTTCTGTTTGTGTAGGTAACGAGCAGTTGTGTTAGCGTCTAGTTCTGTTTGTGTAGGTAACGAGCAGTTGCGTTAGCGTCTAGTTCTGTTTGTGTAGGTAACGAGCAGTTGCGTTAGCGTCTAGTTCTGTTTGTGTAGGTAACGAGCAGTTGCGTTAGCGTCAAGTGTGTTAAGAAAGTGTGGTTCTGTCTGTGTAGGTAAAGAGCTGTTGTGTTAGCATCAGGTTTGTAATAGAAGTGTGTTTCTATTTCTGTAGATATAGAACTGTTGCGTTAGTTTAAGTGTGTTATGAAAGTCTGGTTCTGTCTGTGCAGGTAACAAGAAGTTGCATTAGCATTAAGTGTGTTATGAAAATGTTGTTCTGTCTGTGTAGGTAACGTGCTGTTGAATTAGAATTAAGTGTGTTATGAAAGTGTGGTTTTGTTTGTGAAGGTAACAGCACATTTGACCATTTTCAGAATCCAACCTGCGAGTTGTGTCCATGTTGAGACAGGCTTCTTTTCTGTCAGATCTCATCAGCAAACTGGACTCAAACCCTGGTCAGGTGAGTTTCACATTCTTCTGGTTGGGGATCTGCTGTGTTTTAGTTCATGTCAGTGTGGTGTCAGTGTCGAAGCATGAATTGATCATTATGGTCTGGAGAGAATGCAGCAGGAAGTGATCAGATGATCTGGGCCGACACTCTGCACTCAGAGGAAAGGTAAGGTGGATGTGTAATCAGACTGCTGCTGGAAGGGGGGAGGATGGATTACTTAGGTCCTGGACCCACATTGTCTCATTCAAAATTTTGCTTAAGACTGATAAAAGGATCATGTAATGAATAATGAGGTGCAAGTGTGGAATAGTATTAGTTAAATGTCACTGAATTTTTTTGGGTGGATTCAGTCCTCAGTAAGGATGAATCTAGTTAAACACAGAAGGATATGTTATCTCATTGTGAGTTCCGGGGCCCATTTTGAGTGGGGGGGGGGGTGTATACACACACTGCCTTGCCTACTTAAGAACCCATAGTCTGCAGACAAGTAAGCCGGATCAGTTTATTATTTTATTATCGAACACCGGCTATGAATTCCAGTGGAAGGTCCCGGTTAATCGTCCGCTTGGACTTTTGGCTTTCACCTGGACCTGATTTTTGCGTGTACAACCGTTTTTCATTTCCTTGCCTCTTGGGCAGCTGTACGCCGACTTCGAAGGAAGACGTCAGGCCTATTTCTAGGGTGACTGTGGCCATTGTTTTGTGTGGGTCGAGAAGTTTGCCTAATTTGTGTGGTGTCCATTTTGTCTCCTTCGCCGCAGGTATTGCCCCCAGAGTACCCCTTTGGGGCAGCCCCCTGTGGAACAGTTGGCCCTCAAGGGAAGGCAGGGGCAGATCATGGGCATTCCCCGCCATCCAAGGAGGCTTCCATGCATGCAGAGCCGGCACATATTGCTCTGATTCTGGGCTCACCCAAGGAATCGTCACGTCCTGCACATGCCTGCTTAACCTCACAACCGTATCAGGCCTCCCACTCGACATGGGCTGCGCCCTCTGGAAGTCAGCGGGGAGCAGCCCGTGGGTTTTGGACTTCTGTGACCACACAGATAGGTGCATTAGCCTGACAGAATTTCACATCCTGAATCAGGCGCATCGTTATCAGTTTTGTCCCAACACTCGGGCGAGTGGGGTCTTTGGGTGTGGATATTCGGTCTTTTTCAGTTCAGTGCAAATTTTGATGGTCAGATTTTGATCCGTATGATCTAGTTTTGTCGGACATTTAGGCTTAGCCATCCGATGGATGGTTGCTGTTGTGGTGTATCCCAGCTCGGTGACGACGACACTGAGGGTTAACCGAGGATGTACGTGAATGGCCAGCCTATGGATGGTTGTTGTTGTGGTGCACCTCAGCGCGGTGACGACGACACTGAGGGCCAACCGAGGATGTACAAGGATGACCAGCCTATGGAGGGTTGCTGTTGTGGTTGTACCTCAGCGCGGTGACGACGACACTGAGAATTAACAGAGGATGTGCAGTGAGCAATGATCTCTTTACTCAGCAGTCTTTTAACCAAAGGTTGTAATTTTAGCTGTATGTTTGTCAACCCTACTCATGTTCCTAATGAGTTTTGATAACATTTTCACCCAAGCGTTTGGGGGCGGGCTGATGAGAGCCACAAGGACACATCACCTCTGGGGGCCGCCAAACTCCGAGATCCCCTGACAGCTCTGTTAATGCTCATTTGAGACATTATCCGTGGCGCACGACGAGGACGTGCTGTAGGGGTCTTGCGTGAGGTTCCGTACAACCAGGATAGTAAAGGACTGGCGCCCGAGTGACGTACGGAGTATCTCCTTATACACGTCATGTTGGGCTTAACTTCCCCTCACGCCTGTGACATAAATCACCGCGCCACAGCCGGATCAGTAATATGGATGTACCTGCAAAGCTAAAGTTCTGAAACAGGACTAAAGTCCAGAAGTGGGCGAACAACCAGAACTTTCCGGCTAAGAAGATGTAAATATATATTATCAGCTTCTAACACTGTCTATTCCAGATCTATCATTTGTGAGCATTTGTCTGATTGTTTTTTAAACTGTCGCCGTAATTGGAAAAAAAAAAAACCCACTACTTGCTGCCTATACTACCACCTTTTAGGGCGGCTTGGACAGGGGGATCTTGAGCCTTATGATTTAGTGCAGCCAGCACAAACTGTAGTTAGGCTGTTTATTTTTGCACTCGCTAGGAAACACCGTCATGTCCTTACCGAGGATAGGAACCCAGGTCTCCTTCAATCTGATAAATAACCCATATTCTGACATTCATCAGTATCCATCGCATAAATAACTCATATTTTGACATTCATCAGTATCCATCGCATAAATAACTCATATTTTGACATTCATCAGTATCCATCGTATAAATGACCCACATTCTGACATTCATCAGTATCCATCGTATAAATAACCCACATTCTGACATTCATCAGTATCCATCGTATAAATAACTCATATTCTGACATTTATCAGTATCCATCGCATAACAAACTCATATTCTGACATTCATCAGTATCCATCGCATAAATAATTCATATTCTGACATTGATCAGTATCCATCATATAACTCCACATTTATAATAATTTTTTAACAGAGATAAATAAAATTTCACTGTCATTTGTTGCAGCATTTCATGTGTAGGATGTAATTAGTGTTGAACAATTTTCCAAATTTATGTTTTGACCTCTAGGTATTGAAAGACTTGAAAGAACTACAGAAAATTCTCACCTGTCCCAACAATATACAAGTGCACCTGGCATGTAATGTGTCTAACTTGGCTGCCAGAGTATCCCCTGCCAGCCCTTGGAAAGCATTCCTACCTGATGCCCCTGTGGAAGGTCGGCCATCCAGGTTTGCTTTTTTTAAGATTTGGTTGCTAGTTTTTTTAATTGATGATTGTAACATACCTTTTTGTTATTGTTTGCTAGTTAATAATTGTTAGTTGTAACATTATAATTTTGTTGTTAATATGCCAGGTTTTTAGTTGTTGATTATAAATTATACATTTTTGTGACTGTTGTTAGATTTTTAATTGTTGGTTATAACAACTGCTAGCCAGTTAAATCTTTTAATTTTTTTAAATTAATATCATAGTAGGGAATGAAAGTTTATAATTGTTGGTTGTAACATTATAATTTTGTTGTTAATGTTGCTAAGTTTTTAGTTGTTGGCTATAACAGCTGCTAGCCAGTTAAAGGGAGTCGCCGTGGCGGAGCGGCTAGAAGCTTGCCGCGGATCGGAAGGTCGTGGGTTTGCTCCCTGGCGGAGCCTGACTTTTTTTACAGATGACTTTGGCTCCCAGGTCGACCCAGCCTTGAGTGGGTACCGGGTGCAGCCCCGGAAAGTATAGGCGGCCGGCGTGATGCTGACCACATCACCCATCTTGTGCCGATTGGTCTATAAAAATATAGGTCTAGCCCTATGTGCCCTATACGCCTAAAGGCTTGGAAAAGGGTCCTTTACTCTTTTTTTTTTAACCGATTAAAAGCTAATGGTTTTTTAAAACGTAATTTCCAGAGTAGGGAATGAAAGGTACAGAATTTCCCGAGCCTGCTCAGTCCTGTTCATTCTTATAGCATTCTCTACTCTTACTGAGTGTGTGGCCACAGGGGCACGGTTTACTTGGCCATCCCAAGTTTTTCATTCTTATGTTGTTTTTTACTGTTGAGTACGCAATCCCAGAGACATGGTCTCGTTATCCTGCTTAAGCTGTTCATTCTGAGGCTTTCTGTGTTTTAGTTTTGTTGATGATTTATTGTGTTTATGAATACTGCATTGTCTTTTTAACCATACAGCATTCCTGTACTGTTTGTTGTACAAACATTCTTGCAATCTTTGTTCTGAAACATTCTTGCAGTATTTTTTTTACAACATTCATTCACTATTTCTTCTACAACAGTCTTTCTTCTACAGTTTTCATTCACTCTTTCTTCTACACCTTTCTTACAGTGTTTCTTTTACATTATTCTCGCACTCTTCTAAATCATTCTCGTACTCTTCTACATTGTTCAATTGCTATTTCTTCTACAGCGTTTTTGCCGCTTTCTTCTACATCATTCTTGCAATATTTCTTCTACAGTATTCAGTCCACTCTTTCTTCGACAGCATCTATTTACTGTTTCTTTTTCAACATTATTCACTCTTTCTTCTGCAACATTCATTCTCATTTTCTTCAATTCTACATCATTGATTCAGTGTTTCTTCTAAAAAATTCGTGCACTCTGCCTTCTTTGACATTCTGACACTCTTTATTCTACAACATTCTTGCATTCTTTCTTCTATGCCTTCTCTCTTCCCCAGCATCCATGTGACCAGAACCTCTGAGCTAGCCATCCCACGAGAGCAGATCCCCAACCCCCATGTTATTGTGGGCATCAAGGAGGTGGAGTCCTCGTTCATGATGCAGACCGTCCCTGGCATCTCTGACTTCCTGCACCCTGACCTGCCGGCACTGATGGTTCTGCTGCAGTACTTCACTCAGTGCGAGGGGCCCATGTGGAGACGGATCAGAGGCCTAGGATTAAGTTACAACTACAAGTATGTCTTATGTAAGGTTACAATCATAAAGATGTATAGTTTTATCATGGCTAAAGCTGTTCTGATTCCGTTCCCAGTGGTGACAGGATAATTTTTATCTAAAAAGGGCTAATGAGTGACACGGCTAATGAATTGTTCAGAAAACAAAGTTTACGCTGTTTTTCCATGTCCCCTTTCGAATTTAGATTCGGCAGACAGATGTTTTAGTGGATGCATTTCCCTCGAAGTCGGAGTACATCTGCCCATGAGGCAGGGAACGGCAAAAGCCAGTAAAACGGTTGTACACGCAAAACTCAGGTAAAAGCCAAAAGTTCAAGCGGACGATTAATCGGGACCGTCTGCCGGATCTCACAGCCGGTGGACGAAGAAGAAGAAGAAGTGGATGCATGCACTGGCATAACACGGCCATGTGTGAGCTGAATTTTCTTAGCAATCAACAGAAACCTATGGGAAATCAAATTTCTGCTAACGGGTGTGATTCTGGATAAATGATCTTTGTTAGCCGAGGTCACCCTGTAACACCTTTACCCTGTAACACCTCTACCCTGTAACAGGTTATTGTAATCTAAAGTTTACAGTTACAGAGAGGGTTCTGGTGTTGTTGGTTGCTGTCCTTGCTAATGGTTTTATTTTTGTGTGCCATTTCCACAGTAGAGGTTGGCTGCTGCAATGCAGGAATATTGCATGAGGCCCTAATCTCTTCCACGGTGCCACTCTCATACCACTTGCTGAATGCCACAAAAATGGTTTTTCTTTTTTTTTAACTTCCTTCAAGGAAATCAGAATCTGATACGTGAGGATTGTGAAATTGTCGAACACATTCACTAACCTCTAAACAGCAGAGACTATGTTCTAATCTTCAAATTTTGTTTTCTCTTCAACAGCATGTATGTAGATGTGGAGGCTGGTCTGTTGTTTTTCTTGCTGAGCAAAGCCACTTACATTCAGGATCCCTACAAGGAAGCAAAAGCTATAGTGGTAAGTAGACATCCATTGCTCCATCATCATAACTGTCATAAGAAAGTTTCGTAGTAAGTACTTCACGCAGACAGTATTTTCCTCAATATTGTCATTATATAATATACAGAGACAACAGTTCTAATGATATATCCTAAGTATTATAAGAGAGAGAGAGAGAATTCAGTGTTTCATAGCATGTCATTACACTATTTACTTGATGTAAATTTTTAATTTGTGAAAAAGGTTCAATACTTGTATGTTGCATAACCCACAGAGTGCCTGTGAGACGATATTTATACTTGTGTGTTGAAAAATGCATACAGTGTGTGAGAGAAAATATCTCAGCTCTGTGAGAGAATATCTAATTTCTAATACCCTACAGACAGAGTACCCGAGAGTGAACATCTAAACTTATATATCTGTTACGTGTGGTGGTGGGATGCACCGTACACTGGCAAAGTATCTAGGGGATAAACTTATATAAATTCTATGAATGTCTGTCTTCCACACCTCCACCCTGGATTCCCTCTATCCACAAACCATGCCGCCCACTTTTCTTGACATGGCTGATAGTGATTATAACTGGAGTAAAGGAGGGCCAACCCAAACAAGAACACCACTATGACCAAGGCACACAAAACAAGCTAACACATGTCCTTAGGTAACACACGTAACAAGCTAACACATGTCCTTAGGTAACACACGTAACAAGCTAACACATGTCCTTAGGTAACACACGTAACAAGCTAACACATGTCCTTAGGTAACACACATAACAAGCTAACACATGTCCTTAGGTAACCCCAAACATTGTCTATGAGTACTGTAACATATTACACAAAACCCAGTTTGAACCTGTAGTGCGATCAGTCTCTTTATTAAGGACAAACACATTGGCGATGCAGATGAATGGGTGATCGATGACACACTGTCAGCTCAACTACAGCCTCCTAAATACTTACATCGGCAGGCTCTCCAGACATGGACAAACACCCCAGCGAACTATATCCCAGTTCTCTGCTACGGGCAACTCCCACCCGATCGTGCAGATACACCTATATGGTGTGTAGTGACAGTCCTCTGACAGTTCCTTCTCTGAAGTACTCTGCCCCAAGGACTCAGGAAAGATGCACCTCTTGGTGAAAAACTCCAGACCTCCCGTCTGCTATCTCAGTCACTCATTGGAGCATCACTGACTAACATTCTGTCAGTCAGCCTCCAATGCTTCCTTGTCACATTCCAACTTTGGTCAACATGCACAAAGTTTCCCAGCACCCTGTCTGCACTCAAGGACACCGTTAACCAATGCCACAAAGCTGCTACCGTGTCGACCCCAAAACACATGGGCCACACGACACAAGTCCATTCTAGAAACCACACGGACAGAACTATTCTTACTCATGATCCACCACGGAATAAAACTCACATACACAGTCCACTGGACTCAAACAATTACGCACAAAAACGTCCACATACATAGTCAAACTGACAGCTGCTGACTGATTCTGTCACATGACCTTTCAACCAGCAGTCAGTTACACGTGGATCCTGCTTTCTCACCAACATTCAGGGTTCACAACCCTTGTGCTGTCGACCCACATGGATCACACAATGTACATGACGTCCTCAAGACTCATGTTTTTCCCCAGTGACCCCTTCTCCGCTGTCTTCCAACGACCCCAAATGTTTACATTCCCAGATATCGACAAAATCCTGGCTTCATTAAGTCTTTACAGTCCCCAGTGATTTCGCACACAAACAGTGTCAAATACCCATGGGCAAAGTACCAGAGACAGAAAGAGAAAGAATATCTAAACTTGTATTTTGAAAACCTCACAGACAAGGTACTGAAAGAGAATATCAAAACTTGTGTGTTGTATACTCCACAGACAGGGTACCTGAGAGAGAATATCTAAACTTGTGTGTTGTATACACCACAGACAGAGTACCTGAGAAAGAATATCAAAACTTGTATGTTGTATACCTCACAGAGTGCTTGAGAGAGAATATTTAAACTTGTATGTTGTATACTCTGCAGAGTACCTGAGAGAGAATATCTAAACTTTATGTTGTATACCCCACAGACAGAGTACTTGACTGGTGAACAAGAATTCTCCCAGATGGAACTGGAAGCAGCCAAATCAAGCCTCATCTTCGAGCTTGTGGAAGAACAAAAGACTGTCCTCAAATCTTCGGAACTGTCTCTCCTCTCCTACTTCCAGCAAGTGCCTCACTCATACCCCAAGTATGTATGCTTGATGTTTCCCTGTGTTTTATGCCTAACTCATTTTGCTGTTCAGTTGTACCAGGCGTCTGAGGCATGATTGCCTGCACCGGTCATGGAGGTGCTGGATGATGATGATGATGGCAGAGACGAGTGCAAAAGGTCCGCGCTGTGCACGAAGTTGGGAAAAAGGTGTTTCTGGACTTTCAAGGCTAACAGTGGTTTGCAGGGATACATGCATTTTGCAAGACCCATGCATGACTAGTAACTGAGCTGAAAGTTAGCTTGGTCTAGTTAGTGCCCCTCGGTCTGAGCGAGTTAAGGCATGTGAGATTTTAGCAGTAATTATGTGTATTATTTTATTCTGGAGAAAGCCTAGGTTGTTCCTTAGAATTTAGTGTATAATTCGAAATGCCCCAGTTAAATGTAATTAATGGAGACAAGTCGTTTAACGGCCAACATCTCTTTGTGATCCAACTTCGAGGATGTGTTCCCTTATCGCATTGGAGGCTGATTGTGACTGTGGGTCGGTAGAATTAGTGTGCCGGGGCAGTGTCTCTAGTCAGTTATTATGTAGAGGTTATGACCAAAGTGTGGGCACATAACCGCGGTGATTATGAAAAAGCTACCAGTGACTCCAGGAGTGGGGCCGAAGGCGTCTTGTGTTGTGGACTCACGTTAAGTTGAGGTTGGGTGTGCCCCTTTGAGGTGAGATCGCCTTGGAGGCAAATCAGTGAGTATATGGGGGTATTTGGTGGACAGTAGTTTGGTAATCACCAATTCATCTTCATCGTCACTCTTTGGTTTGCTGTCTATGTGTTATTTTGATATTTCATTGCTAGTTTTTGTTCTTTGAATTACTGTGTCTGTTGTTTTGTTCTCATTGCTAGTGTTTGTTCCATTAGTGCATGTGCTGTTCCATTTACTGATCAGTATGTGATTAGAATGTTACAGTGATGTTTTTTGATTAGCCAAGATTTTATTGTGCTCTGTCTAGTTACAGAGATGTGATTTGTGAAATAAATAAGCGGCAGTATTATGTTGTGGTGGTGTGAAGATACGTCTTGACTGGTTGTTGAATTTGAGTTATGAGTTAGATTTATCGTCCCGGTACTCCAGACACATTCATAGATGCTAGGATTTCCCCTTCACATATACATCTGCATCCTGTGGTTAATAATACCAGCCCTATGCTAGTTGACAAGACTTCTTGTATTTCTGGTGTGCCTCTCGTGTCTGGCTGTGTCTTTGCTCCAGATTCTCACATTTTTAGCAACAATGTGGATGCAGTGCTCCCAGAATCCACCAGTCGTCCTTTCTCTCTAGGGTGTTAACACTGTTGGTGAGATCTTTGGAATGGCTGACTAAAAATAAGGCTGCATCTCCCAGTCTATCAGCTCTTTTACTTCTCACAGCTCCAGCATACCTGGGACATTAATGAAGGTAATTCCATACACAGTTGTTTAATGTGTTGTGTAGATGCAACTTGACAAGTTGAATATTGTGTTTTAAAGTTTTCAAATGTTGTGAAGATGTAACTAGACAGTGTAGATGCAACTTGACAAGTTGAATATTGTGTTTTAAAGTTTTCAAATGTTGTGAAGATGTAACTAGACAGACACGTTGTTACAAAGCTTGTTTGTGCCTGAGTGGTAAGTTACCCGTCTTGTATCTCCAGGGATATGTTGGACAGAGTATCCCAGGTGAAGCTTGAGGATCTAGAACGTGTGGGCCTCAAGTATGTCTTACCACTGTTTGACCCTGCCAAGACACGATGTGCCATCGTTGTCAACTTCACCAAAGTGCAGCACACACAAGAGATATTTCTGCAGTAAGTATTTTCTGTGGGCTCATTGTTGTGTCTGCAGTCAGTATTTTGTAGATACCCCTGAAGTAATTGTTGTTTTTGTAGTATTTTATAGGTACCCCTGAAGTAATTGTTGTGTTTGCAGTATTTTATAAGAACTCCTGGGGTAATTGTTGAGTCTGCAGTGAGTGTTTTCTGGCTACCTCAGGTGTATGAATAAATTAATGAAAACACAAACAAAATATTGCACAGTTTATGGTCTAGCAGATTTCATATTGTCATATGCATTACTACAGAGTTAACATAGCCTTCTTTGGGGTCTTCATGGCGAAGTGGTAAAGCCGTTTGCCTCCCGCGGGTTCGTTCCATGTCTGTGCCTTTCAGCTCACAATTGCAGTTTGTATGGAGATCCCCATAAGACTGTGTATTTTTTCTGAGGATAAAATCTTAGCCTGCACAGTCTGTGGCGACAACACTAACCATGCAGCCCTAAATCCTCATTCTCAGTGCTCTTTAATGTCACCAGTCCATCATCTCCTAGGGTCACCTTTTGCTTTCACATCAGATTTTCTCCTGTGTAAAACACCTGTGTTGGCAGTCGTTATGGCTGCATTCTAATGAGATTACAGGACCATGTAATCTCTGTGAATTTGGTGCATGGTGTTGTTTCCACATATTCTGCCTGATAGTATCATTTCTCACTTTGTCCCAGTAACTGTTTAATCAATATTCTTTCAGAATTTAAATATGGTGATTGCCCGTGTGGGTTGCAGGGTCCTGTTATAGGGAAAAAAAGAATAGACCCACTGCCTACCCAAAAGCCTGTCCTAAGAGTCGACTCATTTGTAGCTTCCTTCGGAGTGCATCTGCCTGAGAGGCAAGGAACCAGCAGTCTACATACAATTGAGTCAGATCTGTAAAATGGATGCACACGCAACACTCAGAGTCTGGAACAGAACTGCAGTCCAAAAGTAGACAAACAACCAGAACTTTCCGTCAGAGTTTACAGCTGGTGAATGCAAAGAAGAAAAAGAAAAAGGGTGATATAGATTTCTGTGTTTTTATTTGATGTACCAACTTCTGCATCTACTGGTACTTTCTTCACTAAATCCATTAACTTTTTTTTTTTTTACTTTTTCAACAGAAAGCATGAAATTAAACTGACAGAATTGCAACTTGAAGATGAGTCCCTGATCAGCTTGTAAAGTTGCAGCCATGATCTGATTGTAAAGGCCAGCAGCTGAATTTCTTTCATACACAATTGTACATCAGAAATCATTGTTTTCCTGCTTGTTTCTTTTAGTACAATAACAAACTGCGACAAGTTGGTGTTGATGTTCTGTCTTCTTTTGTCAGACATTGTTTAGTTTGTGTGTTGTTACAGGGTTATTCTGGTTTGCTCACACATTTCTGGGAATGAGTGAAAGGTGGAGGCAGGTATGCTCCATTTACAGTGGCAAGCATCAATTTAGATGACCTGGGTAGTTAGCATCTCCAGACCATGCTGATGTGTTGGTGAAATGAACAGGCAGATTGACTGGCTGGTTCGACACTCCAGACCATGCTGATGTGTTGGTGAAATAAAAAGGCAGATCGACTGGCTGGTTCGACACTCCAGACCATGCTGATGTGTTGGTGAAATGAACAGGCAGATCGACTGGCTGGTTCGACACTCCAGACCACGCTGATGTGTTGGTGAAATGAAAAGGCAGATTGACTGGCTGGTTCGACACTCCAGACCACGCTGATGTGTTGGTGAAATGAAAAGGCAGATCGACTGGCTGGTTCGACACTCCAGACCATGCTGATGTGTTGGTGAAATGAAAAGGCAGATCGACTGGCTGGTTCTACACCACTTGGTGCTGAGTTGAAGCAGGCCAAGCTAGATGTAGTAATGGTCCTCTGGGTGTGAGTGAACATTGCTGAAGCACAAATAGATCATCACGGTGTGAGGAGAATGGTGCTGTGAGGAGTATCCTGGGGATCTGGCCGACGCTCAACACTCAAGAGAAAGGTGAGACGGATATTCAAACATATTGTTACTGGTGCCATTGGATTTGGAACTTTGCTCGCTGCTAAAAATGGGGTCCGTGCACTTATAGAATTGTCCTGAGTGCTGTGATAATTCTTATTTTAACATTCAATGGGGGGTTGGACGTCCGTGGCTGAATGGTTAAACCATTTCCTTTATGCTCTGAATGTTGTGGGTTCATTCCATGGGCCAAGTCATTCAGTTTATGAATGTAATTTTTATAGAAATCGTCATTGGAGCTGCAGAGTTTTTGCTTTGTGTGACATTTCTGGCAGGCAGCTATCCTGTTCTGCCGAGAGAATGAGACTTATGGGATATAACTAAATCCATTGACATTGATCTATCAGTTATAAACTGTAAACTTATTTTGCCCACATTCTCAAGTATCTTGATATGACCACATTTATAACTATAGACAGGAAGTTTGAGTCAGGTTTTCTTCATATGGAATGGGGCGCATCAGTCAAAGGTCATAGGTGGTGAGAGTCACATTAATATTTTGCCTGGCGATGTAGGTGCGTTTGGGAAAAAGCAGGCGGATAGGCTGGCTGGACTAGCCTCACTTGGTGGTGTACTGCAACTGCACAAGGTATACTAGATTTACCCTATACCAGATTTATCTATATCCTTTTCATGTCACTGTTGACGGGTAAGGCATTCACAAGTGATCTCTATTGCCGCTAGTCTCATGTTTTTCTGCCTACGATATCCCATATCCTTCTTCTTCCCCCTCTACTGTTTTTTCCCAGGTTTCTTTAGGTCGTCCACATCTTTTTATCAGTTCCAGTATTACTGTTGATTGAACGCCCCAAAACTTATATATGTTGTCAGTCAGATTTGGGATCCATGTCGTCCTTTGTACGGATCCCAGAAATCATTATTCCCTCTACAAAGATTGTAGAGGGAATACACTGTTGTAAAGAGGTGGTAGCCCTAATGGACACTAATCATCATCAAGTGCCTTGCCGACGGGCGAGGGCGATCATGCCTCTCCACAATCTGTGATCTTCAACTGCGTGTATCAGTTCGTGTGTTGATACGACAAAGGCTGTCAAGAATCTTCTTGCACTGTTTTCCTCTATGTCTATTTCCACAAATCTCTTCAGTGGTCACAACATGTTCCATTTTCTCTCTTCTCATAGCATGACTAAAGATGATGACTGTCTCTTTCTGATGTTTGTGATAAGTTGTCTTTGAGCCCTCACCTCTTTTAAAACAACTGGGTTACTCTTCTTAGCTGTTCAAAGAATTCTAAGGATTCCTCTGTAAAACCACATCTCCGAGGCTTCAAGATATATATACTCACAACATAAAAGAAAATTATAAACCATGGAAATGAGGTGTCTGAGAAAGATTGTAGCAGTGACCAGAAGAGATAAAATCAGGAATGAGGTCATACGAGATAGAGTCGGCACAGAACCAAATTTTACATTACATTGAAAAACAGCAAATCGAATGGTTTGACCACTTAGAGAGAATGCCTTATGATGCTATACCATTCAAGTCATACACCAAAAGAGGAGAGGGACGTAGAGCAAGAGGTAGACCAAGAACATGATCGAAAGATAACAGAGAAACTCTACAGCACCACGATGTGTCTATGGTCGAAGCAGCCAGAAGAGCACGAACCAAAACCATATATCTCCGTCAACATCTGAAGCAGTAAAAGAGGACGTAAAGAAGAAGTGAAAAATAACGTTATAAATAAAGGAGTCATCACTCCAGGATTTGTTTTAAACAAAACCTAGCAATCCCAGTGAGGAGTAAAGACAGGATGTTGACCATGAAGACTGATTTGGTCAGTAAAACAAAAATCTGGCAGCAACTATATCCCATGTGCGGGAATGTGGTCTTTTAGTTCACTTATTACAGTGGTTCTCAACCTTCCTAATGCCGCGACCCTTTAAAACGGTTCGTGTTGTGGCGACCCCCAACAATAAAATTATTTTCGTTGCTACTTCATAACTTCAGTGACTGTGTTTTCCTATAGTCTTAGGCGACCCATGTGAAAGGGTTGTTCTACCCTCAAAAGGGTCGCTACCCACAGGATGAGAACTGTTGACTTACTAGAATATCTATTTCTTCTTCGCGTTCACCGGGTGTAAACTCCGGCGGAAAGTTCTGGTTGTTTGTCCACTTCTTCCTATTCCAGAACCTGAGTGTTGCGTGTGCATCCGTTTGACAGATTTGACCAATTTGTATGCAGACTGTTGGTTCCTTGCCTCTTGGGCAGATGCACTCCGACTTCAAAGGAAGCTCCCAATTAGTCGACTCTTACGACATGCTTTTGGGTAGGCAGGGGGTCTGTTCTTGTTTTCCCTATAATAGGGCCCCGGAACCCACACGGGGAACTTACTAGAATATGTGACGGGTCTAACACGTCACAAGCAGGCATCAGGCGTACCAGCACAGAAAACACTTTGGGGTTGGGATCCCCCTCCTCCTGCCATGTAAGTTTTCTAGACAAAAATAGGACCTATCAAAATCCTAGTTTAAGAGCATAGCATGAATATTATACTAAATGGTAAATAAAGATAATAATGTGGTTCTTTTCTGTATTTTCACCACATCACGCCGGCTTCGAGATTTGGTAGCAAAATCCTCAGTTCTATAGTAAAGAGGGGTTAGGTTAGGTTAGTTGCATATCCGTTACAGTATAATTGCAGAACCAACCCCAGCAGCCCCTGTTGTATGGTTTTTCCATACAACCATAACCAAACCATACAACAGGGGCTGTTGGGGTTGGTTCTTCTAGGCAAATTTACGTCCAGTAGTTTGCCATTGCTTTATTGATAGTACTTTTGAAACCAACGCAAGGCGCATGGCCCACAGCTGGGATCGAACCTGGCATCCTGGCATTACGAAGCGTTCGCATCGACTTAGCCACAGAGCCGACTAGATGGGTTCGGGCTAACGTTAAATGAAAATCCACTTCTACTAAGCCTAACACTACCCCCTCCCCGCCCCCAATCCCCTTTCCATACTATGGAACTACTGGGGATTTCCCTACCAATTCTCGATAAAGAACCACTAGTTTTCCTGTTTACAAAATGACGATCGCATTCCGACGTCAGTTTGTGTCAAGCGCCTAATTATAACTCTCCCGTGGGTCACGGTTTCTGTCATGCGACTATTTTTATCTTTTCGGAAACACAAGCTATTACACGCTCAACTTTGGGTTTTCCCAATATTAGTTCCGTTGGGAAGAACTCACAGAAAATTTTCATTGCGTTCAAAGTTAAAAGACCGCGAGAAAGGTAAGATTTTTTTTTCAAAACGATTATTAGCTAACATCCAACTGGTGTATAGAAATAGGAACAAGTAGAAAACAGGTTTTACGGAAATTACGCATCGGGCATTGATGCCACACTTATATTTCTTAGGCCACTTGGACTATAGCCTACCCATTTTAGTAAAAGTAACGTTGATCTCCCCACGCCCCGCCCATTTACACTAGCTCACTTTTGATTGATAGTCCCTGAACCTGTCACCTTGGCACAAGGCTACGGGGGTGTTGCGCAATACCGTTAATATCGTGTGTTGTATATTTCAGCACGCCAGCGCTTTTAAGACTCCAAAAACATGGAGAAACTGGTCCTAACACAACACCCTAGAGAGTGCTGCAAGCTATGTCAGAGGCATTCTCTTTCTCGGAATGAAAACGTAAATGCAAGACATAACAGTGCAAACAACTGAGCGGGACACAGCCGTAACCTTCAGGAAAGTCGACCAGCCCAACAAACTTGTGAATGAAAAGTGACCAACTCTATTTGGGGAGATTAAGGGGAACCTAACCCACATTTTAGGCCGGGTCGACATGGTAGCCAAGGTCAGGTTTCGAATAACAATCCGACTAGGTGCGGATTTGAACCCGAGACCCTCACTCCGGGTGGCAGACGTCAGGCTGCTACGCAACAACGGATGTTTAAGTAATATCAGAAATAAAGTGACTGGTACTGATCAACATTCATAAAAGTCGAGAACTGAAATATAGACCTTTTGTAGAATAATTAATTAACATCTCGTTCTGATTGAAGAGCTATTCGAGAAGCGCAAAACAAATACAGAAAACCACGAAACTGGGCTACAACCTGGTAACAGTGAGACGACAAAAAAAAAATTAGAAAGATGGCATAAGCTATATTTACAGCTTCATCCATCGATTGCCGATTGATATGGTATTAATACTGATATGGTTTTACCAGGTAATTTTTTTTTTTTTTCTGCTGAAAAAAAAAAAAAAATACCAAAAGGGCTGGTACTCTCCACAAAATGTCTAAATATTGTTCCGTACTCGACTCAAAACGTCTATTACAGTCTCGCTGGGGAAAAAAATTGCTAAAAAATGACGTCGGACAGAAAGATAAACCTGGGTAACTCATGAAATAAAAAATGGTTCCTTTGCTTTTTATATTGATATATCTTGTTTCTTTATAGGGATTTTTTTTATTTTATTGTATGCCCGTGTCTTTTTAGATATACAGATTTGGTTGTTTTTCTATATTCCTAGGTTGTCTACGTTTTCAGTGAACGTTATTTGTGTGTGTGCAAAAGTAGATCAGTTTTTATACTTTCGGAAAAGCTACTTCTTAGTTTCAGTTTAGGTTTTCCCGGTGTTACAATCTAGTTTATTTATACTTTCCTGGGAAATATCCACAGTGTTATCGTCATGACTGACTGACTGGCTTTCTACCCCACCAGGACATCACCCAAGCGATAAATAACCGATGACACAAGTGCCACCATGCGGTTGGAGAGGTCCTAGAAATCGCTTTCAACCGGTATGGCCATATCTATAGCCCGGTTATATTCAGGGCCCCGGCAGTAACCAGGGTGGGGTTTCAACACAAAAAAATTGCATCCCACATGGGGAAGACTTTTTTATAAATAGCATTAGGCCATAAATATGGCCGGGTTATATTGAGGCCCCTGGCAAGAGCTAGAGTAGGGCTTCAAAATGACGAAAAATTGCATCCCACAAGGAGATGATTAAAGTTGACGTCATCGTCTTCAGGTAGCCGGTCTTTTCTAGAAAGTGGTATCGTCAGGGCTGTCGAAATTTATTTAGGAATACGATATTTTGTTTTTGAAAAGTTACCAAAACACAGCCAAAGGTATCAGCTTATTAATTTTGAATTAGAATACCGTCAAAACGTCTTTACAACACACACACACACACACACACACACACACAAATTTGGAGTTAAAAATCAACCTAAAGTATTTCAGGATCCTCCCCGGTACTACAGAGCCGGTGCACTGTGCTGAGCTTCTTCGGACTCAGACTTGGGTTAGAAGAAGAACGGAGCACTTATGGGTTACTACCCGTATGCCATGATGTTGATATGTAGTTCAAACCTCAAACCTTCCCTTTTGATTGTGCTCTTTAGCATGAAATTCAGCGGCTCTTCTTTTCTTGTTGTCCTTTTCAGTTTGTTTGTTTTTCACTTTCGAAACTGCTATAATAATGAGAGTACAAAATCAAGTTCATCATGACCGTTTGACCGAGATATTATTTCAGTGTTTTCTCTCTCACGTTTCTACTTAAGTTCCTCTTGAACATATAATATTGACGCCTAATTGGAAGATGAGTGAACACCTCCTTTCCCCTTTCTTATCAATAGCCTCTCAATGACATAGCCTCGAGTCTAGTCGCTTTTCGTTTCGTTGATCACACAAACTAAACAGTGCCTATAGGTATTGTGTTTGAGGTTTGAGCAACGGATCAACATCATGGCACGCAGGTAGCAACCCTTTAGTGCTCTGTTCGTCTTCTAACTCAAGTCTGAGTCCGAAAAAGCTCAGCACAGAGCACAGGCTCCTATCCTGAAATACTTTGGGTAGATTTTTAACACAAATTGTGCTCGGTCAGCGCCGCTATGCTACTCTTTTTTATTTCCAATTGCCACTGAATTTGTTAGGTGCACAACCCCAAAAAGTACTGTTTTTAGTTGTGTATATTTTGTCAAATCTATATATTCATATCTGAGTCAAATTAAAAAGGATGCTTTGATTTGCTCCCTCATTTTAAATTATTTTATTTAGTATGTATATGAAGTATTGCACAATATTGTTCTATCTGTTGTTTATATTTCCCTTATCTAATTTTATCTGCATTTTTTCCTAGCCTTATTTTGGACTGACTTGATAGACAGTAGAAGCCTCCAGTAAAAGAAGGTGATCAGAGAACTATTTCATTTAGACAACCCAGTATGGCAAAATCAGCAATGTCAAAACTAGATCGGTTAGTAGCAGCATGTAGCCTTTGTTGTGTTTACTTTGTTGTGATGAATTCATCTACACATGCATCTACCACATTCACTCTCACACACATACACAAATACACTCATACACACACACACGCGCAGGCCCACATACAGACGCGCGCGAGTGTGTTTGTGTGATCAAGGTCTGCAATCATGTCTAGCCAGGAGTTAGAGGCAAATAATCTACTTTGTCATCCCTTTGTAAAATGCAATTTTTCGTTATTTGAAGCCCTATTCTGGCTCTTGCCAAGGGCTGCAATATAGCCCGGCCATAAATATGGTTTCTGGGACCTCTCCACGAGTGATCCTCGTCCACATGGCGGCACTTTGTGACATCGGGTGTTTATCGCTTGTGTGATGTCCTGGGGGAGGGGTGGGGGTGCGGGGTATAGAGGACAGGAAAGGAAAATAGAGGCGGGACTGAATGTTAAAACCAAACACCACACACGTATATTCACGTAATGCGTGACGTTTGTATACACATGTTTGCATCTTTGCTAATGCTGGTTAATTTGTGCAGCCTGATTTAACGAATCTAATCTAATCTATGGGACATTATGAGATTAAATGTTAAAAAATTAATATTTAGGAATATAATTTATGGGAACTTAATGAGATTAAATGTTAAAAAAAAAAGAATATTAAGGAATCTAATTTAATCTGTTGAAACATTAGGAGATAAACTGTTTAAAAACAATTCAAATAGTTTACACTTGAGTAGTTACAAGCCCATCATGAACCCACGCCAGTCTCCTAGGCGACAGACAGACACTAGCTGTTGCCTGAATCCAACTACGTGTTTATTCCCAAAATGTCTGTTTTTATCCCTTCCAGGCTTACTCTTGTTTCTGTGTGTAGTATGACGTTTTATAAGGAAAAATCTACAGATTATAGTTAGATTATAGTGTCTAGTTACATGTTTCCCCGTGAAAAGTAAAAATATTATCTGTTTCTAGTTTTACAAGGTCAGACAATTAGGTAATGAGACTTATTCCATAAAAATTAAAATAATAAATAGTTAAAGATATAACCTGTATTTTATTCAAAGTAAGCCCTTTATGCATTGATACAACTAGTGGAACCATCTTATAAACACTTGAACAACCTCTGTAGTTCTTCTGTCGTTATGGCCCTTAAAGTCGATGTTACGGCATTTTAGATGTCAACATATCGTCAACGAAGCGTCTTTTCAATGGCAACTTTAATTTTGGGCACAGAAAATAGTCAGAGGGAGAAAAATCCGGGGAAATAGGGTACATGGTTGAGAACACGCACTTGTTTTTCGGCAAACAATTCCTGTACAACTACTGCCCTTATAACCGGTGATTTGTCATGAAAAAGAAACAAATTCCAGGTGTTGAATACAAACGGGCATGCAGCTTTCTTTCCTGCCCAAATCTGTCACTAAAATTGTACGAATAGTCTCTGTATTAACACCAAATTCATATACTTTCATCCTCACAGTCGAACAACCATCTTCTTATATCCGTTCTCAGAAATTTGCAATGAGTTCCTCATTACGAACAGAAATTGGGCGGCCAGGTCTAGTTGCGTTAGTAATCTTTTTCACACAACTTTTGAATCGTGAATACCAGCTGAAAAACTGTGCATGAGATAAACAATTGTCTCTATAAATTTGTCGCATCAATTGAACTGATGCAATGGCGCCTTTTCTGAGTTTTAAACATAATTTAATGTTAGCTGTTTTGGTTCATGCTGATTACGTAACACTGTACCTCTGACTAAGTTAACAAAATGGCGGCTTGTTTGTTGTCTGCTTATCGGGCGGCGATAAAAAGTTGCCAGATCATGGACGAAGGTTGTCTCTTTGGATTCCATGCTTTGATTCAAAGATGGCATTTGTGTCTTAGCCATAAAAAAATCAATAGTTAATTGTCGGAACTTGTATATTTGTTCATGAACAGTCGACACATTTTATGTATCTAGTTACTTGTAAGTAAATAAGTAAGAGTAAAGATCCCTTTTCACGCTTTTAGGCGCATCGGGTATATGGGTAGAGCACCCATATTTTTACAGATCAATCGGCATTACGCCGGCCGTCTTTACTTCCCCAGGACAGACATCCTGGTACCATTTTAGGCTGGGTCGACCTGCGAAGTCCTATACCATGACCAAAATTCACGCAGAAAGCATTGGGTTTCGATCGTTAGAATTACGCGTCGCACTCGCAACGCCCAAGTCACGGACGAGTTACTTGTCCCTTCACGAAAATCTACAGATAACCTTATTTTACACGTTCCTTTATGCAAAATCTACAGATTATATGTACCTGCCTTTCATTTTCCCTTCTTAAAAATACTAAGTATTGCTAGTTATGTGTTCCTTCCTGAAAAGTCTAACTATTGTCTGTATCTAAATAAATGTTTATCCTCCAATCAAGACAGAATTGTCTGTATCTAAATAAATGTTTATCCTCCAATCAAGACAGAATTGTCTGTATCTAAATAAATGTTTATCCTCCAGTCAAGACAGAATTAACCTGCCCAGTTACCTTCATTTTCAACAGCCCGCGGACGATTATAACAGCTGTGAACGTCGGACTTTGTCTGTCTATATTATTAGCAGTAACTATCGTCATCAAGACCAGGCCAGAAACAAACAGCTGTCAGGTACACATTTATTTCCTGTTTTTAGGCATAATATATGGACATCACAGTATTAAAACAAAAAATACATTTTATATATTTTCACGACTTTGATGAACACAAACCTTTATTTATTGTCCTTTAGTAATTTTAATTCCTCCGTAAGGCTGGGAATTTTTTTATGTCGGGGGGAAAAAAATTCTTACCTGCACAGTCGTGGCGACAGCACTAGCCATGCGGCCTTAAATCCTAAGGCTCAAAGACTCCCTGCATACACCGCAAAAGTGGTATAATAAAGGCAGTAATTGACAGTTTTTTGGCAGTGAATTTAATGGCAATAAGAAATGACACATCATGTCTCCCATAGATGCCAGAACCGAGGGTATCAGGTCCTTCGACCCCCCCCCCCACCCAATAATTAAAGTAGGCTCCCCCACCCCCAATAATTGGAGTAGGCTCCTCCACCTTCAATAATTGGAGTAGCCTCCTCTACCTTCAATAATTAGAGTAGGCTCCCCGCCCCCAATAATTAGAGTAGGCTCCCCACCCCCAATAATTGGAGTAGGCTCCCCACCCCCACCCCCAATAATTAGAGTAGGCTCCCCACCCCCCCACCCCCAATAATTAGAGTAGCCCCCCCCCCCACCCCCAATAATTAGAGTAAGCTCCCCACACCCCTAATAATGAGAGTAGGGGCCCCCCCACCCCCAATAATTATAGTAGGGCCCCCCCCCCTATACTTTTTTTAAATGCAGCTTTTTTTAAACACTAGTCTAGCCACTTCACTTGACTTGGAGATGACTTCAACTAGAATAATCAGTAATGCAGCTTTCCTTAATTAAACTGTCGTGCCTGCGTTCGTCCCATCTAAAAATAACCATTACAAATCCATGGTCGAAACAACAACTGTTAAGGTCAGAGAGACTGATCTGGGTGATCGATAACATTAAGAAAGTTCTTCACATAGGAGCCCCAACATGGGAGCTCAGATTCCTTGAGGCCCCCTTCCTCCCGCCCCACCCCGAATATTTTTGAGACCGCATACAACAAAATGGTATGTATAATCCCTTTAGGAGCAATTTATATACATGGCTTCCCTGTGTGAGTTTCTGGGTCTCAAGTGTATGTGCCGCCCCCCCCCCCGACCTACCCCCCCCCCCTCCCCTCCCTCCCCCAATGCTTTCGCACTGTCCATGCAAAATAAATGGAAAAAATAAAAACAACACACACGTCGACATGTCGGGAAGAATAAAAGGAATAAATAATAGAAAGACAAGAAACGGAAACAAATACAAAAAAGAAAGACAAGGGAAGAAAGAAAGAAAAAAAAAAAAGAAAGAAGAAAGAAAGAAAGAAAAAATGAAGGAAAAAAATGAAGGAAAAAAAGAAAGAAAGAAAAGAAAGAAAGAAAGAAAGAAAGAAAGAAAGAAAGAAAGAAAGAAAGAAAGAAAGAAAGAAAGAAAGAAAGAAAGAAAGAAAGAAAGAAAGAAAGAAAGAAAGAAAGAAAGAAAGAAAGAAAGAAAGAAAGAAAGAAAGAAAGAAAGAAAGAAAGAAAGAAAGAAAGAAAGAAAGAAAGAAAATGTCCTAGTTTTATTGTTACTAGTCTCTTATATTTTCACAAACACAAAACCTATTCACAGCCACCACCAGCGAAGTTTCCAGAAATATGCATAGATTGCACTCACCTGCCCAGAAATCTACTCACTCAGCCAGAGGTCAGTGGGCTGGCCAAGCGACACGGGAATAATACCGACATGTGCTGCGCTGAAACTCAAGATCAAATGTCTACACTGTTGCAAGCTGTAAGTCTCTTCTCTCTTCCTACTCGCTTCAGTCATTTTGTCCCATGAAACAAATGGGAAATTTCCTAAATCGCCAAGACTAAAATGACAGACAACTTGCCAGTTTAACTTCAAAAATGACAGCTTCTGCTATGCAGTATTTGTTGACTATACTTTGACACGGATGATCACAATATTTTCATTAGTAAATTAAAAAACTTAAAAACTAACGATAATTTAGTGACATTATTAAAGTCATTTTTGTCTGATAGACAGCGGGTAATTTCCCCCAGTAATGGTTATTCAAAACTCACTCAGTTAAATATAAGCGTCCCTCCGCGCTAAATATTATGTCCACTGCTCTTTGCCGCTTATATTAATGACCTTCCATTACATCTCGGTATAACATGTGATCTGTTTGCTGACAACTGTACAATATATACTAGTCATGATAATTGTAATGAATTAGAATGTTCTTAACAGAAAAAAAAAAAAAGATAATCTTATAAACTGGAGCAAAGATAATCGCATGTCAGTTAGCATAAATAAAACTAAATCCATGGTAATAACAAATGGGCAAAAGCTACAAACATAGGCTTTTCACAAGCCACCCTTTGAGCTCATCATTGACAAACTACCTATTGATAATGTAGTTTAAAACAAAACATTTGTCCAATTTACAGCCATTTAACTTGGAATTCACATGTTCATGCCATGACACAAGTGAAAAAAGCACAAGTTTATCAACTTGGCAAAATTCAGCACTTTCTGGACGAAAATATACGTAAAATACTTTACGTATTCTTCATCCAAACACATATAAACTATTGTTTCACAATTTGGGATGGTTGCTCCAAATCTAATGTCAAACGACTGTGTTCTCTACAAAATCAGGCCTTGTGCCTAGTCTCCGATAGAAACCTACGTCGAAAAAGTATTATACGGATATCTACGACTTCTGCTATTTAGTAAACTTTAAATTTTTTAATAGGCCAAATTCATTCACAAAATCCTATCTCAAAATACTCCAAATTACATTTTTCCGATTTATAAACTCCAATCCTACGAAAAGCAAGCGACTAAGTTTATTACATTTGCCTAAACATAGAATTGATTTATTTAAAACAAGTTTAGCATATTCTGCTGCTCATTTATGGAACTTTTTTCCACTCGATCTGAAAACTACAAAGAGCCCCTACTTAATTAACCGCAAAAGTTTTTGTTTCATTTCACCTTAAATGTAGCTAATAATCCATATTGCATTATTAGTTTATAGTTAAATAAGGTGTGTATGATCGGTATGTATGCATGCGTGTATGTGTCAATGTATGTGTGCAATATGTATGCAGGTGTAGGTGGGTTTGTGTATGCATGATTCTATGTATGTATAAGTGTTTGCATGGGTAATTGTATAGGCTTTGTGCGTGTCTGTGTGTGTTTGAATGTGTGTCTGTGTGTGTATGCATGTGTGCGTCATTGTGTGTGTCTATGTGTGTGTCTTTGTGTGTACTTGTGTATGTGCCTTTATATGTAAATACGTGTGTGTCTATGTGTGTGTGTGTCTCTGTGTGTGGCTGCTTGGATATCTATGAGTTGGTGTGTCTGCATGTGTGTGTGTCTCTGTGTGTGTGCCTGCGCGTGTGTCTTTGTGTGTGTGTCTGTACATGTGTCTGTGTGTGCCTGTGTGTGTGTGTGTGTGTGTGTGTCTGTGTATGCCTGTGTGTGTGTCTGTCGCTGCCTGGATGTCTTTGAGTTTGTGTGTCTGCGTGTGTGTGTCTCTGTGTGTATGTACGTGTGTCTGTGTATGTGGTTACTTGTGTGTCTGTGTACATGTGTGTGTGTCTATGTGTGTATGTGTCTCTGTGTGTCTTTGTGAGTGCTTGTAAGTGTGTGTCTATGTGTGTCTCTGTGTGTGTCTAAGTGTGTCGCTGGGTATCCCTGTGTGTGTCTGTGTCTATATCTGCGTGTGTGTTTGTGTGTGTATCCTTGAGTGTGTGTGTCTATGAGTGTCTTTCAATGTGTGTGTGTGTGTGTGTGTGTGTGTGTGTGTGTGTCAGTGTATGTATGTATGTATGTATGTATGTATGTATGTATGTATGTATGTATGTATGTATGTATGTATGTATGTATGTATGTATGTATGTATGTATGTATGTATGTATGTATGTATGTATGTATGTATGTATGTATGTATGTATGTATGTATGTATGTGTGTGTGTGTGTGTGTGTGTGTGTGTGTGTGTGTGTGTGTGTGTGTGTGTGTGTGTGTGTGTGTGTGTGTGTGTGTGTGTGTCTGTCTGTCTGTCTGTCTGTCTGTCTGTGTCTGTCTGTCTGTCTGTCTGTCTGTCTGTCTGTCTGTCTGTCTGTCTGTCTGTCTGTCTGTCTGTCTGTCTGTCTGTCTGTCTGTCTGTCTGTCTGTCTGTCTGTCTGTCTGTCTGTCTGTCTGTCTGTCTGTCGTTTGGAAAAGGGGTGGAAAGGGGGGGGGGGGGCGAGTGAGGAAAAAACTTTCTTCGGTAGCTATTCTCCAACCTCCAACCTTTTTTTTTTTTACGTATATTTTAAATTAATGTCATTTATATTTTATACACTTAAACAAGACCCCCTTTAAATTTGAAACGGTACCAAGGGAACCCACCCCCCCCCCCCCCCTTCCCCACTAGCTCACATCCCTCCACTCCACTCCAAATTTGTTCTTTGAGTCTGTACCCCTGTTTTGGTAGCAATTCTGACGACTGCTTTTTCCTATTCACCACAGATTGTAGAAAATCAACCAGTGGACCCGGGTAAGTTGGCTCTCACACTCTTCACAATAAGGAAACGGTACGCAGCACCAACACCTCGCTTCAGGGATCATTTTTCTTTCTGCGCTACTGTAGCAGACGCTCTGTCGAGGTTACTGACACCGCTATTAGACACTTTGCCGTGAGAACCGGTGCCCTTTTTATCATTTTCCTCTATTCCTTCTCTACTTCCGTTGCGAGTCCGACTCGTAAGCCAGCATACCGCGATCGAAACCCACTGCAGGCTGCGTGGATTTTTATCGTGGTATGGGACGTCGCAGGTCGACCCAGCCTAAAATGGGTACCAGGATGGGCTGTCCTGGGAAAGTAAAGACAGCCGGCGTAATGCTGACCACATTACCCACAGAGTGCTGATGGTCTGTAAAAATATGGGACGCTCTGCCCATATGCCCGATGCGCCGAAAGGCGTGAAAAGGGAACTTTACTTTACTTACTTCTCTACTTCTTCTTTTTCTTCTTCCTCTTCTTCTTCTTCTTCTTCTTCTTCTTCTTCTTCTTCTTCTTCTCTTCTTCTTCTTCTTCTTCTTCTTCTCCTCCTTCTTCTGTCTGTCTGTGTGTGTGTGTGTGTGTGTGTGTCTTCCTGAGTATCTGCGTGTGTGTCTATCTGCGTGTGTGTCTGTGTCTCTCTGTGTAAATCCACGTGTGCGTGTGTCTGCTTGTGTTGTGTGTTACTTCACCTAAGTGTTGAAAAGGCCGGGGTGGGGGAGTGGAGTTGGTGGTGGGGATGTAAGGATCTTTCTGTATTGTCTTTAGCATTGTATAAGCTTGTTTTAATTATTTTAAGGCTGTTCTTGATGCTGTTATTATAACTTCTATGTGGTCTTCTTGCTCTGTGTCCATTACTTTTCTTTAGCTGCCACTATTTTTACACAAGGTTAATTTCACTATCTATAGACGAATGATTAGAATACCCTAAACAGGTCAAAATAGTAATGAAGATGTCTGGAAAGAAACTGACTCACGAAGAGAACTGATTGCCCACATCTGAAGAAGACAATCAACATTCTTTGGTTTGGTTATGTCGTGAGAAGGAGAGTACTAAATACATCGTGACAGTGGGAAACCTGGAGGGGAAGAGAGACAGAAGAAGACTGGGTGAATAGATCCTGGACAGTTTGATACCCTGGCATGGAGGATCATCTGTGTCGGAACTGATACACGATACAGAAGGTTGTGGAAAGACATGGCTACCAACGCCACAGGGCACGGACTTTAAGAAAAAGAAATATTGCAGCCATTAAGTAAACTCACAAAGTGATTTTTGTCCCCTTTCAATCAAATGTCACCAGATCCTGCACCCGAAACCAGTTCAATTAACATGGTCCCAGTTTCTGCTCATAAAAGGATATTGTCCGGGTTTGCAAATGAGTCTGCCTTGGAAGGTGAGTTTTTTTTTTTTTTTTTTTATTGTTTAGATGTACAAATCCAGCAAACCTTGCTCAACTATACAATACTACTATATTGTGGCTACCGATGGTTATGATGTAACCTAAGTAGAATATTGGTAGGTATGGTGTGTAGTGAGATAGTTTTGGAAGTGACCACTCGGTGCCTAACGTGGTCAGCCTCACACTGGTAGCCTTTACTTCCCAGAACACTTCCTGGCACTCAGTCAAGGTTGAGCTGACCTGGAAGTCAAGTCAATTTTAAAGAAAAAATTTATGACTCGTTGCAGATTTTTACTCAAGACGTTCGAGCCGACAGGCGAGGGTCTAGCCCCAACGTTGCCACATATCCTATATGGGGATAATGGTGTTTACAAAATTACCTCTGCATTTTTAAATCTTTCGAATTTTGGAGACCCGGGTTCAAATCCTCGGTAAGGCTGGGGATTTTTTCTGTCGGGGGCAAAAAAAAAATCCTTAGCTGCACAGTCCTGGCGATAGCACTAGCCACGCAGCCTTAAATTCTCAGGCTCAAAGACCCACCTGCCTAAACCGCAAAAGTATCTGACAAAAATGTATGCTGGCACATCCATCAACATTTGACTACGGGTTGCTACGTAAACGTATTGTAGTGCCCCAGTATCTTCTTTTCTCTACTCATGGAATGCCACGCAGCGTCAGGGCAGGGAGAAATCGTGGAACGAGACATTCTGTTCGCTTTGTATATAATCTGGTAGTCTGGTAGTCTTAGTTTCAGCTTTATAGCAAACGGTTCACCCCATCTTTGCTCCGCTCCTGTGCCAACGAAAAACACACAGAATGTTTATCACAGTCCCTTGTGGAAAATTTGACAAACTGCTGTCTCTGCATATCTAGCATACACTCGCATTAAAGCATACGGTAGCCATCCGAAGTGCTAACACAAACAGTCCAACATTAGAAATGCAGTTCATCATTGATGACAGCAGAACTTGTCGCCAACAGATCAGCAGCTGCCCACGCGATCAATTTTAATCACATACGGGCACCGCCAACATTGCACTACAGGCATCGCGCCATTTTCTGAATCTACAATTCACACCACCACGTTGGTCACAGTCGAAAAAACATTCCTAATGCAATCCGCAGCTCACAGTGGCATGCCATGCATTCAGCTCAGTATACAGTCTACAAATGGAGCAAAAATGCATCGGCCACCGTCCAGCAGAAGCAAAAAATGTGCCTCTGCTTCGAACAGTGCCGCTGCCTAGCGTCCATTTTAACCGGAAGTTGTATGTAATACTTTTTAGTATCTCCGATATTTCCGCGGTCTATGTTTTGCGTGGTCAACCTCTGGATCTGTTACCGTTCTATCTGTTGGTTACAATGCTCTATGTGGTGTCCTGTCTGATGCCAATCTTGTAACATAGCCAAACCACTTCATCTACTGTCGACCTATTAAGTTCAGTACTGGTTCTGTGCCGACTCCCCTCCTGATATCGTCGTTCCTAAGTCGATCTTTCTTTTTATACCTAGTGTAGTGCGCAAACATTTCATTTCTGCTGTAGCCATTTTTCTTCTGTCTTCTGAAGACAATGGCTATGTTTGACATCCATAGATTGGGTGGAATATTGTGTTGAACAATGGGTACTTAATTTATAACTTACCCCTGACGACACGACTACGTCACGGGAGACATTCCCAATACATTCTAGGGTTTTCAGGTTGTAGTTTCTCGCGATTTATCTACAGCCAAGTTTAGGATTTGGGTTAGGGTTTGGGTTAAGGTTAGGGTTAAGGTTAGGGTTAAGGCTAGGGTTAGGGTTAGGGTTAGAAGACATTAGATGAACACTCAAAAAGAGCACCACACAACAGTACACTTATACCCCTTGAAATAATGGACTGTCACGTCAGCTGTGGATTTTCCACGGGAATTTCGTGTTTGGGGTACGTTGTAAATTAAGAACCGAACAATGTTTTTTAAATGTTCGTATTTACATGTTTGCATTTCAGATTAGTGCTATTTGACCTATAAATAGATTGGCTTTTTTGCATCTTTGTTGGCTTTCTTTATTCTTGCGTCCTCTGAAAAATTCTCCTGAAAAAAGTCCGTCTGCTTTAATTGATGTTCATCATCATTGATATTGGTAGTTCTATTTTTTTATGGAGAATGTCATCACTCATGCTTTGACTATGTTGATCTTCATATCATAGTTGTCGCATGAAGTAGAGTGGCTGTACCGCTATGGTGCTGTGATTGCCTATTTATGTATGTATGTAAGTTGTATCCCACCAGGACATCCAACAAGCGATAAACACCCGGTGACACAAATTGACACCATGAGGATCACCCGTGGAGGAGTCCCGGAATCCCCGTTCACCCGTTAGGCCATATTTCGGGCCCGGATATATATTTAGGGCCTCCGGCAAAAGCCAGGGTGCGGCTTCAAAATAACTAACAGTGATGGGGATGACGGTTTTACAATAAGATTGCCTAGTTATCGACGAAAAACAATAACTTCCCATGTTATGATTTTTGTTGGTGTTTGCTGATTTGCAAATGTAGTCGACGTATGTGATGAGCAGTAGTGGTGATTAAAACACACTGATGTTTCACTCCAATTCTAACGGAGAACTTCTCGACATTCCTATGTTTGTTCTAAGTGAGTATGACTAATACGTATAACTGTGCAACGATGGCAGCTGTACCAAAAAGATCAAGACAAGACTTGATATGGCAACAGCCGCGATGTCTCAGCTTAATACAATGTGGAAAAGCAAAATCAGCATCGCAATCATTGTCAATATTTATAAATCACTGGTATTGTATATTTTCTTATACAAATGTGAGAGTTGGACTCTCTCTGTGGAAATCGAAAGGATGATTCAGGCTTTCGAGTGTAAATGCTACAGACGCATTTTACGAATTAGTGATTTAGAACACAAAACTAATAAATATGTCAGAGTCAAAATATACAAATTTGTGGGACACCAGGAGCCTCTCTTGGCAGTGGTGAAACGTCGCAAGCTAGCTTGGTGAGACATGATTAGATTGCAAAGACTGTACTTCAAGGAACATTGGGGGTAGTCGAAGAAAAGGAGGGTGAAGAAGAACCTGGAATGACACCATCAAGAAATGGTCAGGACTAAGTTATCATACACTTATTCATCAAGTGGAAGACAGAGTGCTTACATCGATACACCTACACGACTCTAATTGGTCAAGGGTTAGGTTATGCATGTATAACTGTGCTATATGGTTAAGTGGAGTTAATGGGATTTGTACCTCATTGATTCTATTTCCTGAGGTGTTAATCTTGAAGAGTCCAATTCTGGAGAGGGGAAAAACGGCTTGGCCACTTCGCAACGTCCTTAAATTATACACAGCTAAATGTTTTCTCCAACTAGTGATATTTGTGAACCTTATACTTTCTCTAGAGCCCTATTTCAACGGTGGAAAGGAGCACTTTATAACGAACTTCAGTAAAGTTAACGACCCAGTCACTGAACACGCCCACGGTGTGGAAGTTCTGGATTCAGCACTGAAAATTGAAACAGACGGATTGTACTACGTGTACATCAGCATTCACACAGGTCCAGAGTTCAACATACCAGCCAAGAACTTTACCTACCAGGTATATAGTGGCACTTTCCGTTCTTTGCCAGTGTTTTATTGTGCTATATTGGAGGCATGAGAGTCACAGCCTATGGTGAAGGCGAAGGTAACTAGCAGAACCAACTCTTTTTTAAGAGAATGCTTCAATAGTATTGACATGGGATTTCAGGATCACTGTTGGTCATTCGTGTATTTAACGCGATCCTTCTCAGATGCTCTGCTAACTTGAATGACGTCCCCTCGTATAATGCAATTTTTCGTTAATATAAAAAACGGATGAATATTAAACATGCAAATATTTAAAAGGACGAATATTAAAAAGACGAATATTAAAATAACGAATTTCTAAAAGGACGAATGTTTAAAAGGTCGAATATTAAAACGGACGAGTATTGAAAAAAGAAGAATATTAAAAAGACTAATATTGAAATGACGAACATAAAAAAGACGAATATTTAAAAAGGATGAATAGTAAAAATACTAATTTTAAAAAGGACGAATACTAAAAAGGACGATTTTTAAAAAAGAAGAATGTTAAAAAGGACAATAATTTTTAAAATGGCGAGTATTAAAAAAAGAACGAATATTAAAAAGAACGAATATTAAAAAGGACGATAAATAAAAAGAAGAATATTAAAAAGACAAATATTAAAAAGGACGAATGTTAAAAAGACGTATATTAAAAAAGACGAATATTAAAATAGACGAATATTAAAAAGACGAATATTTAAAAAAGACTAATATTAAGAACGGACGAATACTCCAAAGGACGAATGTTAAAAAGGACGAATATTTAAAAAACGTATATTAAAATGGTTGAATATTAAAAAGACGAAAATTAAAAAGGACAAAAATTACAAAGCCGTACATTTAAAAAGACGAATATTAAAAGGACGAACATTCTGTTTTTCCCATAGGAATTCACTAAAAACTGGTTTAATCCATTTCTAACCCCGAATTTTTCTATCTATTCCTTCACATCAACAAAATTTCCATCAAAAATGTATTTTGGAAATCATAGCAACTACATTTTAATTAAATATTAGCCTTAACTGCAGTAGCTTTTCTTGCTTTATCGTTGAGATTTATTATACTGCAGAACGAATATTAAATACAATTAAATACAATTTTGAAAGAAATTTACCTTTTGGATGAAAAAAAATAATAGCTTTTATTTGGAAGGGGAGCCTTCCATTATGATTAATGTCACTTCTGATAATTGGTGTCCTCATGATCCATCAGTAATTATAGACAATTGTCCAGCACTTTTTTTTTTTAAAGATTGTGTCTCATGTTATTTGTTTTATTGTGTGTGTGTGTGTGTGTGTGTGTGTGTGTGTGTGTGTGTGTGTGTGTGTGTGTGTGTGTTTTAATCCGAACATCTCAAATGCATCGTTTTAAAATGCATTGATACGCTGATTAACTGGGGTTCGGGTGCCATAATTCCTAGATGAAAACCTGGATTTTTGCCCAAGTGGACATTTCTTCATTATAGCGCTTGGAACTTTTTTGGATGACTCGCCAGCAGCATCGTGTGTGTGTGTGTGTGTGTGTGTGTGTGTGTGTGTGTGTGTGTGCGTGTGTGCGTGCGTGCGTGCGTGCATAATAGCTCTAAACCAAAGCTTATTTCACTTGACCACCTCTCCCCCACCCCAATCTCCTTTTCCCCCAAAGAATTAAGAGGTTGAGCTTTAGTTCAAGAGCATATCCTAGATTTTCTGTCCAGGAATTCAGGTGTGTGGGACAATGAGCGGGCGGATAGGTTGACTGCTGTCGCTCCTCTGGGTGGTGAGCTACGTAATGATAAATCGAACGTGGTGAAGGCTGTCTGGGATCAAATAGACTATCCAATAGACAGTGAATCCATGTATTGATAGCCTAATTTAACGGAGGGAAATGGCGAGCGGGGGTGGGGGGCGGGGGAGAGAGTTGAGGTTCTGGGAGGTATTCAGCATTGAAGGAGAAACAAAGGCGGACTTTTAATGAGGTTGCATCTGGTACTGTTAGCATGTCGGACACTTAGTTGGCTACTGAGGATGGTGACGGAACACGTGTGAGAATGTCTCAAGCGCAGTAATTTGAGGTTTTGATTGATTCATTCGTGCATTCATTTCGTGTTACTTCATTTTAGTTCACTTGTTTAACTTTGCTCCACACGCTCCATCCCCTCAATCCCCAAACTTCATTTCACTTTTGCAGAGCTGGTTTCAATATGTCTACCGACGAAGTCCACACAACCCCGCCAACTCAGGCGCCCTTTTACAAATGGCGTACCCAGCACATGAAGACAGCGTTACATATGAGGAGACTGATTACCGAGGTAAGGAAATCGTTGCTGCGTGTGTGGCACATGCGAATTGAGTTGATGTGTTGGATCACGGTCCAGTTACATAAGAAAATCTCCGCAGTTAGGATGTTTCTGTTCATCCTATAGCCCCAACCCCATCACGGAGTGTCAGATTAGAAGGAGGAAATATGTTCCTTCTTCTTCTGTGTTCTTCCTTTAAAACACGAATTGCACGTTGTGTTGTGGTTAACAGCCAGGTTGCGATAACTACGCATTTAGGTCCAACCCATCGATTTTAGCAACTCCCTAATTAGTTAATTTGTCGCCCTTTTTAATCAGGGGCGGAGGGGTGGCCGGGGGGGGGGGGGGGGGTAGTTGTGTTCTTTTCTGTTTTCTACCTCGAAGATGGGGCACCCTGGAGGAGAGAGGATTGATGTCTGGCAACATATCACTTGTGGATGTTGTACTTTGATAATTTGTTTTGAAAGTCGGCATGTGCTACTTTAACTAAAACTGTTTTGAAACTTTTACCTCGCCTGTTTAAAACTTTTTAGTCATACGTTTTAACACTTTTCGCTCAAATGTTTGGAAATTTTAAAATAATATTAATTAAAAAAAAATTTTGAGTGCTCACCCCTCTAACCCCCACCCCATAATTTTAAGAAAGCGTTGAAACTCTATTAGCCATTTACAGTCATTCTGCGTGGTCTCAATGTATGGTGTCTCCTCGAGTGCTAAAGGTTCCGGGCTCAATCCCCGGTAAGGGCTGGGATTTTTTCACATGGACTAAGACTTCTAGTAATTTCCCCTGGTCTTTGTGTAAGGAGATCAGACGCCCGTATGCGTTGTTGCGCACGTAACAAATCTCTTGGTGGTTGGAAATCGAAAAAAAGTAGCCTAATGGCGTTGCCCGGGCAAAATTTATAGTCAAAAATTTACGTAACGTATTTTAGGATCCTCGCGGGTGCTACAGAGCTTGTGTACTGTGCTGAGCTTCTTCGGACTCAGACTTGAGTTAGAAGAAGAACGGAGCACTTATGGGTGTGCCATGATGTTGATCCGTTGTTTAAAACCTCAATACATTCCATTTGAAAGTATTTGTTTCAACATTTATTGTTCTACAATATATTGTTGTATTTACTTATCATTTGGCACATTATAAGTATTATGCTTCTAACTAGGACTAGGCCCCCTGAGGCTCCACCTTTTAGCTAGAAAATATTATTTCTAACCCATCCCTCGCCCCTAAGCCCCCTCCCCCCCCCCCCACTTTTTTCCCAGTGTTTTCTCTGTGTTGGTAAGCCTTGTATGTTTTATGTCACCGCCTCACAATCTCTGATATCTTCCCACCAGGAGGGACATTTCATCTCAACAAAGGAGACGAGTTACTGGTTTGCATCACTGGCGTGGGATTGTTTCGTTACAGGAAAGAGTCCTCGTTCCTTGGCGTCATCATGGTCAACAATGAAACCATGTCGAAGTAGTCACAGATGCTTAGCTGATGTTTGTCAAACCAAAGTACAGTAGAACCTCGCTTAACGAGCACCTCTCATAACGAGTAATTTGCATAACGAGCAAAACAAATTGTTTTTAAAAAAAATGACTAGCCTAATTAACTAGCGACGTTTCGCATAACAAGTGGCGAGGAAAGGGGAAGTCCCGAATTGTGCGCATGTTACATCAGTCTGTGTTTAGCACTCGTTTCAGTAGCATCGTAGTGTGGCTTGTGATCACACATTTTCTCAAACTTGTGTTATATTCTGATATGTGTACATGAATCCCCCAGGCCTACAAGATGACCTCCCTGAAGATTTTAAGTTTATCAAGATCCAGTTTCTGCCTCCCAACACCACTCCGTTACTCCAGCCCATGGACCAGCAAGTTATTTCTAACTTTAAGAAGCCCTACATTAAAGCATTCTTCGAGCATTGTTTTCAGGTGACTAAAGTGACCAACCTCACTCTCAAAAAGTTTTGGAAAAATCACTTCCACATCGTTGACTGCCTCAAGATGACTGACAGGGCGGGGGAAGGGGTTACCAAGAGAACCCTAACTTCTGCTTGGAAGTAGCTTTGGCCGGAGAGCGTTGTCGATTTGTGACTTTAAGGGGTTCGAGGCAGTACCTGTGGAACCTGTAGTCAACGAGATTGTGTCTTTGGCGACTATCATGGGATTGTAGGTGGATAACAGTGATATCGAAGAGCTTGTGGAAGAGCACAGCCAAGAGCTGACCACCCAAGAGCTTATGGAGTTGCATTGTGTTTCACAGCAAGAAGTTTTGGAGGAAAGTTTTTCAGAGGAGGAGGAGGAGGTAACAGAAAAGCAACCATCTTCTGGCGAAATAAGAGCAATGCTGAAAGCATGGCAAACTGTTGCATCTTACATTGAGAAGCATCACCCTAATGGTAGTGGCTTTCTGCCTTTCTATCCCCCAATGGAGCATAGGCCCTCAACCAAATCACGCTAAGTCGTTCTATCCTTCACTATTACATGGTGCTCTCCCCATGTCCTCCCCATCTTTCTAACTTCATTCTCCAGCTCTCTTCTCCGTGTGTTTTTTGGCCTTCCTTTATTCGTATCCTCCTGTGGGTTCCAACGCAAAGACATTCTAGTTATACTGTTTTCCTGTTTTCTCAGTGTATGTACTATCCAACACCAGCGTCTTTTCCTCACCTCTTGGTCCGTTGGAGCCTGTTTAGTTCTCTCCCAAAGCTGTACATTAGTAATTCTATCCTACCATTTAATTCCCTCTATTCTGCGCAGGCACCAGTTAATGAATGTCTGTACTTTATTAATAATTGCCTTGGTTGTTCTCACCAGAGACACGCCAGTGGTGTGTATGCGATACATCCTTGGTTTGCCGACGGTTGCAGGTAGGCACAAGGTGCTGCAGGCGAAGTCATATCTCAGGGTAGCTGCAGACATAGACCACCCTCTGCATGAAGATCTGGGTACAATTAAGGGTAAGTGGCTGATAAGAAGGAGGTCATGGGTGGCTCAGGCAGAAGACGCAATCAGACAGGTTTGCGTCCTTTAGAACATTAGGCGAGGAAAAGAGTGGGTCAAAGTGCCACCTGAACAGTCAGACTTTGTGTAGAGTCATAATCATGCTGAGCCGGGAATACAGAGATTGGCCAGCAGGTGCCACAGAGGTGGAAATTCAGCAATTAATTCAAGATAATGCTCGTACAGAGGTTGATCATTTACACAGACGGTTCAGTGTCAAGAGGCAAAAGAAGTGTTTGGGGCTTCTTAGCAAAAGTTAATGGTCGACATTTGGTGCAGGAGAGCCTAGCATATGATAAACATCTAGCTTAAGAATGGAGGTGGAGATTTGAATTAAATCAAATCAAATTCAAATCAGCTGTTCTCCATGTTTCCGCCCTAACGCTAAGCGCGTTGCAAATTTATTTAATGAAAATGCTGTGTCACATTTTCGTCAAATTTTGAAGCGTCGGCAAAAACAAATGTCTCTGGACATCTTTCTAGTAAACAAAATAATTAGCTATGTATCATAATTATTTCGACTTTTTGTTTCTGCAAACTGATTTCGAATTCCGCGTGGATTCGTTCCGCGTTTAAAGAAAAGATGAAGATGATTCACTCTCCTTTAAAACATGTATATAATTTTATTTGAATAAATGTTTTACATAGCATTTTGTGAGTAAATTTTTTTTTGGGACATAGAACGCATTATCATATTTTACATTAATTTATATAAGAAAAATTGTTTCGCTTAACGAGTATGATTCTGGAACGAATGATGCTTGTTAAGCGAGGTTACACTGTACATTCTTTGACTGGCTTATCTATGTTTTGTTTGAAACAGTTGTTTCTAATACTCCATCTCATCGAGATAGTATGTTCAGCGGTTCTCACCCTATGGGTCACGACCCTTTTGGGGCTCTAACGAGCCTATCACACAATGGTCGCTCAAGACCATCGAAAAAGACATATTCACTGAAGTTGTGAAATAACAACGAAAATAGTTTGATGGCTGGGGGGTCACCACAACAGGGTCACGGTATTAGGAAGGTAGAGAACGATTGCTCTATCTGGTCGTGATTGCATTTTAACTTTCTTCATTCGAGACTGTTGTTACTAATTATGTTCTCTGTAATATATTGGTCTGAAAACGGAATATCCCAAGTCAAATCAATTTGACCCTACTCCTACACCCAACAATGTGTATTCTAGAATGTATTATTATTACTACTACTTTATTATTATTATTATTATTGTTCAAAAATGACCTTGAGTGGGTACCGGGTGCATTTCCAGGAAGTAAAGGCGGCGGCATAATGCTGACTGCATCACTCATCTTGTGCCGATTGATCTATAAAAATATATGCCATATACGCCTAAAAGCGTGGAAAAGAGACCTTCACTTTCATTATTATTATTATTATTATTATTATTATTTTTATTATTATTAATGTTGTTATTATTATTATTATTATTAATGTTGTTATTATTATTATTATTATTATTATTATTATTATTGATATTGATACTTTACAATTGCTAATTAAGAAAACATATAGGCCTATAGATTGTAAAAGTTATAACGATCAATAAAAATTAAAATCTTAGATGTCTTACACAGTGTTTCTGCCCTCCACTGAACCATCCCTCATGTTGAAATTGAGGAGTGTCCCGAATGCTAGAAGTATTTATCAGAAGATCTAACGTTTTTAGAACGTTGATGAGAGTCCCCACAACTGTCTTCAAAGTTCATACGTGCCGGTAGGGTAAACTTCATTGTTGAGAACCCCAAGCAATATTTTTTATTTGCCCACACATTGTTCGTTACGGAAGAAGAAGGGGAAAAAAAAAAAAACACGTTTCACTCGGATGGATGTATCAGGTAAACATGACATTATTTCCTCCGCTTTGAGAAAGATGTCATTCCTAATTTTTTTTTTTCTTTTCTAAAATAATAAACACTTGTACCCATCTGTCTGCCCCACAACCAATTCTATATTTTCTGTTTTTTAAATCTGTGTTATGGTTTATTTTGCAAATCGCCATTGATTACGTAGGCTTGCTTCGTCCTTTGAACTATATAGCATTTTAGCTTTCACTAAGTATTGTTCATTGTTTATTTAAATATCTTCTTCATCGCACTTGCACGTGAGCATAAGTGCTCCAGTTTCATCCTATGTCTCTAAGTGTTTTTAGCCTAGCAAATCCGATTCTGTTTTGATTGATGTAACAACGACAGGTGGTTTCAGTGTGATTTTCCTGTCTCGCTGCTCCATCTGGTACACATTTTCCATGAAACTGAAAGCCTCACAGCGTTTAGTCTCTCGTATTCGTGAATTATTGGGAGCAGTGAATGCTGATTTGAATTTCTGACTAACCTGGTATATCCTACAGAAGAACCCATTGAAATGTATCAGCTCTGCTATAGCATCTGTTATTATCCCCATAATATTCATAAGCGTTCAAGGAGTTTTTAACATGTATTGGAATTCCTAAGTATCTGGGCACATAGATAACATCAGATGCAAGATGCATAACTGAGATAAGAAACAGGATAGTGCAGGCAAAAACTGCATTTTATAAAAGGAAGAACATCTTGTGCAATATATCCTTGTCATTGAGAGTTAGAAAAATAATTCTTGCTTGCTATATACATCCAGTTTTAATATATGGCTGTGAATCCTGGACAATCGGTTGGCAGGCCAAACAATTTCTTGAGGCCTCAGAGATGTGGTTTTACAGAAGAATGCTCAGAATACATTGGACAGCCAAAAAGAGTAACCAAACGGTTTTGAAAGAGGCGGCAGCCCGAAGACAACTTATCACAGACATCAGAAGCTGACAGTCATAATTTTTCGGCCATGTTATGAGAAGAGGTCGGCTCTGTGGCTAAGTCGATGCGAACGCTTCGCTTCGTAATGCCGGGATGCCAGGCTCGATCCCAGCTGCGGGCAATGCGCCTTGCGTTGGTTTCGACAGTGGTATCAAGAAAGCCGACCGTACAGAAAGCAATGGCAAACTACTGGATGTAAATTGCCTAGAAAAACTTCACAACAGCCAGGGGCTGTTAGGGTTGGTTCTGCAACGTCCTGTAAAGGATACGCAACCTCTATGAGAAGAGGGAAAATAGAACATGTTGTGACCACTGGAAAGATCTGTGGAAGGAGGGATAGAGGAAGACAACGAGAGAAGATTCTTTACAGTCTTGTTGCATGGCACGGAGGTGTGTCGGCACACGAACTGATACATGATGCAAGAGATCGTGGATTATGGAGTGGCATGATCGCCAACGCCAGTCGGCAAGGCACTTGATGATGATGATATTGATTGAGGATTTTAACCCCCCCCCCCCCCCCCCCCTCCCCCTTTTCCCAAAAGCCGAAATAAAAAACGATAGTGCGCTGGTAAAACTACATTTGTCTTTTGAATTCGAATCTGGTAATCTGGTAATCCTAGTTTCAGCATCATAGCAAACGGGTCACCCCATTGTTGCTCCGCT